ACGGGTGATCGCGTTTGAATTGTGCCAGCTTAAGGCTGCGGCGAGGAACTACCCAGTTCACAAGGAATTACTTGCGATGAAGTATGCGCTTGTCAAGGTCAGGGTGCACCTGTTTTGGTCAAAGTCGTTTGTTTTCTACATATTTATCCGTCATTACGCACCGTTGCTCCATCGCCTCACCTCTTGCAGAGGATGGCCAGATGGCTCTTATTCCTTACATGATATAACTTCGAGTTGAAGTATAAGCTAAAAAATCATAATGCTTTGGCTGATGCATTGTCACGCAGACCGGATTATAAGCTTGCTCTTGTCGATGGTGACGTCGTCAGTGACGAATTTGATCCGCGCCGCATACGCGGGTGATGGTATATGTGTAGCGCTCTACAGGCTCTCGGGAGCAAGGAGTTTAGAAACATGGACAAGAAATTGTCGGCGCGTTTGCGCGCACGGTTACAATCGTTGAATAATGGGTTCGTGTATTTTAGCTGACACGTCACGAATTGTGGTTCCTTACAATGTGGATTTGAAATACTGTATCCTCTATGAGGCCCACGACACCCCACTTAGTGGTCACCTCGGTCGTGAAAAGACGTACAGCTCAATGGGTTGCAATTATTGGTGACCCAAGCTGTACAAATGGACGAGCACATATGTGCGCACCTGTAAGAGGTGAAACCATCTCCGAATGCGGCGGCGGCGCTGGTCACTTAATCGGTACCGTACGGTGTTGGCAGTCCATGAGTATAAAATGTGTGTTTGGCCTGCCGAAGGATTCGGCGGGCAACACGGGTGTCGTGGTCTTTGTGAATCGTTTGAGGGAGATGGCTTATCTTGCGGCAGTTCCGGACATCTTTGGCGGTGTGGGTACAGCGACGCTGTTTGTCGGTCGTGTCTTTCGACAACATAGGCTCCCGGAGTCAATTGTCCCTGCTAGAGACCCAGGCTTCACTGGAAGTTTTGGTCTTCAATCTTCAGGGTGCTGGGCACCAAGTATACTATGTCAACAGCGGACCATCTGCAGACCGATAGTCAGGCTGAGCGCGCGAATCGCGTCGATGAAGACGTTCCTTGCAGCGTCTGCGCCGAGACGCCCGAAGCGCTGGAGCGCCATGTTGCAATTTTCATCTACCGGCTACAAGCCACTCTACGTGAACGGGTTTGTTAATTCTCGCGTCCCGCTGACGCCGCCATCCCATGGCTCAGGACTTGGTGGGGAATGAAAAGCGAACCGGTTGCTGATGTCAGCCCCCTCTCAGTCCGTAAAGAAGTCGATGACAACTGTCTACCAGACCGAGTGTCCTACGACACGTTCGCGATGCGATAACTGAAAGCCAAGACATGCAGAAAGAATAATGCAGACGGAAAAAGCAGAAGAAAAGTGGAAAAGTTTGAGGTCAGAAACCTGGTTTTATTAAATGCTAAAAACCTTCCTGCACATGCCGTCTCTGCTGTCTTTACGACGAAGCTCCGTCCACGAGTTATTCGACCTTTTAAGGTCGCGGCCAAGCGAGGGCTTGCGTAAAAGCCGAACCTTCCAAGAAGGAATGGCACCCACCCGGTGTTTTATGTGGGCTTGACTAAGCCGTACCGGGATCCGGCGCAAGTGAATGCGGAAGCGTTGGCGCCGGGGCGGCGCTCAATGGCACCCGGCTACACAGAAGCTGAACCAGTAACTGGTTTTGAGCACGGAGTGCAACAAATCTCGTTTCCAACGGCACAAGGCGCTCCACCGTCGCACAAAGTGACCTATTCGTCTGCTCGACGGCTAGGAGCCGCTCCTACAGAGCGCAACGTAAGGTAGTCGGTGCACAAAGTGCTCCAGCCGCTCGAGGTCGTCCGCACAGCGGTAGGCGATCTCAGAAAGATTCTTGGTAGAGTGCCGATGACGACGAACTTTGTCCTTCAACGCTCGAAGACACAGGACGGCGATCGACTAAGTCGTCATCGCCCGCCGCCGACTCTTCTCGATGGGAATGGTGGCGTCCTCTACAACGTGGAACGCCTTGTGGGTCGGCGTCGCCGAAAGGTCTAGCCCAATATCTTGTGAAGTGGTGAGGATACCCAAACTCCGATGACTCGCGGGAGTTTGAGGTGCCACTTCGGCAAGACTGCCCAGGCCTCGTGGACGATTATGATTATGACGCTTCGCGTCGTCGTGCGCCACGCGCTTTTCGGTAGTAGCCCGGGAAGCCGGAGGGCCACGAACCGAGCTCAAGCTACGGTCCTGCGCTGCTGTGGTCGTAGTCTCACCCGTGTGAAAAACCACAGAGCTCGCTGGAGCGTGATTGATTATTCCATATGTCGCAGGGCGACAGTACGCAGGATGTCGGTGTCGCGCCTTGAGTTTAGCAAATTCAAATCTAAGATGGCGCTCTACACGCACATCCACTTTCTTTTGGTTTCGCTGTAAGGTAGGTTTCGCCAAGGACGAGCACCCCAGGAATAGTCCGCCTTGCGGGTGCGGGAGCGCATCTCTTTGAGCTCGAAGTCAAGCGCGGTACCGATCCATTGGGATCTCTTGTGGTATCAAAAGCGATCTCGGAGAGCTTTCCGCTCACCAAGCTCAGTATTTGTAGTGGCCGGAGCCCGGCCTCATGATCGAGTGATCACGTCTTTCGCTTAAGTCGCGTGTGCCGCCGAGCGGAAGTCATATATCACACGAAGGTCTATGACCGAATGTGGATACGAGCGCATGAGAGCCGCATTGTGGGCAGCCTCCAATTGCTGTATCTGTGCCCTGTCGAGGGGATTGGTAATAATACCACTTCCACCGGAAGTCGAGAGGTCGGGGGACGGATACGGTGTCTGCAAGGCTCGAGCTAGGCTCACATTGCGCCGTTGGCCCCTCCTACTCGTCTTCCCACGCTGGGAAAGGAGTAAGTCGACTTCCTCCAACTCCTCGACGAGGAAATCCGTCTCCCGGGGCGGGCGCGGTGTGTTGAGCTCGGTTGCCGAGGGCTTGGGATGTGCTTCCTGTGAAGCCACGGACGCACTGTCCGGAGATACACAGGGCTTTGTCCGTGGGCGCCCTCGGAACCAGCAAGGCTGAGTGTTTTGCGTGTCATAAACACAGGGCTCATTGAGCGGAGAAAGCTCAAGATTTTTCTTGAAACGTAGCGGTGTCTCAGACACGCGAGCCTCGTCTGAGGCGACAGTTAAATGTAAACTGTGAAAATTCACAATTTCCATGGGGGGAGTGTAACGGGATTTCACTCTCCCTTGTATGAAAGGGCGAGTCACACAAGATATGTGACCGTACATAGGTGTGGATTACACAAGTTGGTGTAATCAAACAATGGGGTGGCTTCACTGTCACAAGAAGTCACTACGTGACAGGATTGCCAGTAGTCATGCATATTAATTAGGTATTACTCTATTAATTAGGAAAACCTAAGGTTCTAGATATTGGCGGCTCTTTCGCCGATAAAACAATTAGATACAGTTTTAGTTTTGAATGGAAGAGTTCATTCACCTTGAATAAGGTTGTAAGTAATCTTAGAGGCAACGGATTGCGATCCGCTGCACTCGTACTGGTTCTTGTATAGAACGTAAGGTCAGTGACCTTAGCTTAGCTCCCTCTAAGCAAAGAGCTGCGGCATTTCCGTTGCACTTAGACTGCCAAACCAAGCGTATCAGGAGCTATAGAATTTTTGTCCACCAGTCAAGGCAGCTGAGAACTAGCGTACCATTTCAAAACGCTAAGCTTATGTCACTGTAGTGACGTCATACCCTCTTCTAAAGGCGGTCACAGTTACAAACTTGATAACAGGTGCGACGCACACCGAGGAATTACGCTTCTATCCTTCGTCATTTGGTGTAGGGTTGGAGCCGCATCGAGTGCGGAGTACAGCTTCTGTGTCACGAGGGAGGATGGGGTGTTGGAAGTGGAAGCTCTATGAGCGTGTCCGTTGCGGTAAATCAGTTGTGCGGAGGAAGAAGAGGTAAAATGCTGAGCAGCTCCGCGGTACATGCATACGCTTCATCTATGGTGATACAAAACATCTGCGTCTTACGTGCTTCTCTCGCTTTCGGCTGAGGTAAGAAGTGTCGGGGTCCCACGCAAGTAAGTCGGACCAGCCCCTCGCGAGGAAACGTTGAGGACAACTCTACACCAACTGAAATTATACGATTGTATCATACATCGTAAATGTCATAGTTAATGGGAACCAGCCCTAAAGGGATGACTGTCCGAAGAGAATTAAGGCGTACAACACAGGGTTTTGGCTATTGAAATTGATCTTCCGATAGATAAGTCCTGGTCGATTTAAGAACTTCGTGCAATTTTGTATGACATGCGACTGCTGAAAGTAGTAGACAGTATGCGGAGGCATTGAGAATGCCGGGTACAGATGATGTAAACTTGCGTCCAGCCGGTGGGACATGTGCAGGTGCTTCGGTTGAGCCTCCATGTACATTTGAGAATGGAATAGTGTCTCGTCCTAAACCTGGATTCGAGATTTGATCGCAACCTAGGTATGACATGGCCGGAAACCCCATGCCACGGTTCGGCTGAAGGTCGACGAAGTTAGACCCCACGAACAACTTTACTGATAGAGCTTTGACGTGTCAAATCTGTTATCTGCCAGGAGCAGAAGAATTTTCGGCATGAGTACAAAGCTGCAAGAGCTTCTGAGTAGAAAACCAATGAAAATGTTAGGTGCTTATTGCAGAGCTCATAAGCCACAAGCAAAAGTTTCCCGTGGTCTTGGGATGAGACAAAGAGAAGCGATCATTGATCGCGTATCTATGTTAAGCCGGGAAAGAACAATTATTAGTTGTGCCCCCTACAGCTTGTCGCTGAATCACGGTAAATAACAGCTATGAGCTAGTGTTTCGTGTACCAGAACTGAAAGAATGGAAGAGCGACTATAAGTCGCATATAGAAGGTCCGGGTCTTATATAATATTTCAAAGATAACTCATACTTGTCATGCTGCTGCATGACAAGTATAGTCTTTTGATGTGTTCGCCGTGCAAAGCTGCGAAATTCCTCGAGGGAGGGATTAGTATGATTGATTGCTCGTGAACGAGTGAGTGGGTAGTGTTAGGAATTATTGCTACCTCCGATAGTATGAATGTGTGTAATGTATTATAAGACCGTCGAGTCATCGTGCTGGTACGCTTAATACCGAAGGAAAGGCTGAGCGCGTCAGTCACAATGAATAAGCCGCTGATTTAAACATTCTATACTTTGGCAAAGAAAGTAACGACGTCGTGACTAGAGGTCCACCATGCATGTTGGCCACGGATCGATTAGGGCATCATTAGGTTGATTTCGTTCTCAAAAACAAATAGTATTGAGCTGACGCCATTGATTTTTCTGTACGTACCAGAAAGAGGGTTCAATGACAGAGTATAAATCTTTGCACTTATCGCTGACTTTCTGTGTCAGAAATTGTACCATCAAAACTTGCATTGTACATGATTATAATAAGTTAAATGAAGTCAGTTTTGGTACAATCACCGATTTTTGATTAGGAATGGCTGCATAGAGGGCGGTTGGCTGCACTGTACCCGGCGCTCTTGTCCTGGTCGGTTGGTATGATGGACCGCTGATGAGTGATAGCGATTTCTCTCATACTTCAATGAGTACTCTGAGCGATATATATCTTTGATTGACCAGTTATGTTCCAAGGACTGTATAACACACCAGCGACATGTAAGAGACTCGTGACATAGCTGCTTAAGTCATTTCGTGACGATGCACAAATACATGTCGACGATATATTTGTCATAGCCATCCGAATCACGGGAAGTCGGAAGTGTAGATCACTTTAAAAACTTGCAAGCAGTGCTCGAGTGTATTGGCTAGATAAGTGACCTCCAATATGGACAAGTCTGTATTTGTCGCCAAAAAAATCTTTTCTTGGATTCTGCTGGGAAACATGACTTCCGGGTACATCCGTAAAGATCAACTTCATGGTAAATTGGTCAGTGTATTTCTTCCAAAGAGACAAAGGAAATGGTCTGGCCTGGCCTTCTACTTACACAATATAGAGCAAACTATCGTGACCTTTCTTACAAATCGACAAAAAGATATCAGATGATGCTGGAGAATTGTAGAAGAGGCGGGCTTTAGAACTGTGACAGAAAGCCTTGTACGTGTCCAATATAGCTCTTTCGAATTCAGATCGGTCATTCATTGTCGTCTTTACCATATCAATCTTTGTTATAGGCTTTGCGCTACTCCAAGCAGATACCGATAGACATGAATGCGTGATTAAACTTGAGTCTCACCAGCTAAAGCGGCAAGAAATAGATACCCTGCTCACGAAAAGAAACTACCTGCAGTATATCTTGTTGTTATCAAGTTAGGGAGCACCGGGATAGCGCTAAGCCATTTGTAACTCATGCTGACCACGCATCGTTGTGTAAAGCAACATCACAATCACATGTCTTGCAGAATGGCAAAGTAAATATTTTTAGCTGCCGAGTATATTTTTGGGGTATGGTTTAAGCCGCGTCAGCTTTATGTTGTGGCGGATGCGCTACTTGTCTAATGCATGATAGTGACGTCAGCAATTGGGAGGTAATACGTACAGCGTAGGAGGGAGATGCAACACATATTTCTTAGCTGAAAGCTTTGTGAGGCAAAAGGTCAGGTGACGCTTTAACGACGCTCGCGATTGCACACCTGCACGGCTATTGATTATACCGAAGCTTGCAGTATTACAGTGCTGACCCATTTGACACTCAACGAGTGGTGATACCCCCCGCATGAGACTTTCACGAGAGGGATTGACAGTACAAAATACTGAACAAGACCCATGAGATCCCCAAAGTGGCAACCTCGGCGCTCGGCGAGCGTTTTGTATTGGTGAATAGAACATATACAAGCGGGTATGCACATATGTGCAATGTTCTAGCGGTTTAAACCCTCGCCACATTCGGCGGTGTCATTGGCTGGTCTGTCGGTTCACAACAGTGTTGACAGTTCATAAATAGGGACCTTTTTGTTTTTAAGAAGGCGAGTGCGGTAATGCGCCAGCTTTGATATCGTGGACCGTCTGAACAGGATGGCTCATCTGGCTGCTGTCATGATAGTGTAACTAGTGAGAATACATTCAAGATGTTTCTCGCCATAGTTTTACACCAACAGGACTTGCCGGTGACTATCGTTTTGAATCTGGATCGGCGCCATACATCGGAATTCTGGCAAATTTGTATAAGGTACAGGGTTCCACATTGGACATGTCAAACATGCTTAATTGCAGGCAGATGATCAAACCGCACGCGTAAATCTCGGAGTGAAGGATACCCTTCGAAGCATTTGCGAGGAAAAACCATAGTGCTGGAGTGAGTTGCTCCCACTCAAAGAATTAGTACTCACCGTAGATTGAGGGATGTCGCTATCTCTCACCCGATAACATCCTTCGGTCACATCAATGGTACTGATGAGGTGTAACCGAGCATGCTGTTCTGCGACACATCCTTCCCAAGAGCTGTTTTTGCGCCGAAATTGCGACTGACAAGATTATTTTGAGCATGCACCATTTGCCATTTACCAGTAGCCTTTCCGACACATAAAATCGGCGTCTATTTGGGAGATCCACTCTATCATAAAATCCAAATCGTGCTTCGCTCGGACGAACGTGCCGATGACGTAAACCGTTCCCTTGGCAAAAGTAAAAGCTACTGCATAGGATGTGAACATCCGCGACATTTTTCGCTGGAATTCTTCAATGTGGGAATGGCCACTTGGACAGAGGTACCGCACAAAAGTGCCCACTTAGCGCAGTATCCTAGCTAGAGATTGAGAGCTTGATAGTTGTTGGAGAGGTGTGACCGTTCTTATCAGAAAAGCCTAGGCTTCTTCACTCGATCGCAAGAACTGCACCTCTCTCAGAGACTTGATGAGCAAAAGAAGCAGGCTGGTATGATTTCCAATATGTACAAGGCTCGTAAGAGTGGACACTGCAAAATGCAACTGCGGAAGATAAGCTTTAAGCTCAAAGGGTGCCCGATGAGCCCACTCTTCTTGTAATATATGCATACAATACCAACAATTTTAAGCCCTTGTGTGGCCCAAATTATGGTGCTTGTTGTGTCAACGAGCAGCGTGCCATATGACAGAATAAGCGGCAGTATTGTTCGAAGCTTAATACAGCACTTATAACGGGGTTACACGAACCCTAATAACAGGGGTGTGTGTGCGTGTCACACGAGATGTACATAATGTGACCACACACCCAACAAGAATATGGTACGGGGCTAGGTAGCCAGAAATTATGCATGTATGATTTTACTATATTGAGGAAAAACTCAACTTTTAACATTAGGATAAAATTAGTTTCGATTTTGAACAGAAGTGTTCGTTTGCCATGGTTAATGATTTTAAGTTCATTTAGAGGCAGCGGATTGCACATCCGCTGCACTAGTACTTGGCTATTGTAAAGAACGAAAGGTTGATGACCTAAAGACGCTTCCTCAAGTGCAAAGTTACGGCAGCCCCGCTGCAGCAATGTATTGGTTCTGTTGAAGACAATGGAGTTCGTCAAGATAAGATCCGTCGGACACATTGGCTTGTGGCCACACATCATACGGCACATACAAAACTAGTTCTTTTTCGTCAAGGTCTCATGGAGACACAGCCATTGAGCCAACCATTGATAGCGATTGTTATCCCGTGGAAGCTTATACGGCATATTTTTTGGCAGATACAAGGGTTAAAAACTGCCATGTTGCTCAGTACCAAGGTCGCTATTCAATTATATCTTCCGCCATGCAATGAATGTGTTCCGCCTGAGAGTTTGCAGTGGGCATCCGGTCATTTTGAGCCCGGCTCCTTGAACAGAATTTGCGACAATAACGGATCAAGCTCCGGTGCAATCGCCGTCGGTAGGCCACGTTAGCGAAACACTTTGTTGAGTCATAGCTTGGCTTTTCATCAAGGATAATGGTGTCGCTAACAACAGAGAGATGAGCCACCTTGCCCAGATAGCCCACAGAGACCACGATGCCGGTAACAACCTCGCATCGCCCAACGTTCTCCGTATGGCCGACTGGTAACTAGATCTTCACATCCACAGATTAATTAAAAAATTATCGGACGCGTACCAAAAAGTGAGGTTCATACCAATGAATTGTAACATTCGACCACACTCGCACAGTTGCCGACGATGGCGGCGACAGTCTATCCCGTTGACGTGTAGCACACGTGTGCACATCATATTTTACTCAATTGTACATGCTAGGCTATCAGTACGTGGTGCTTACTTCCGAGATGAGTAGACGAGCAGCATATGCCTCACACAGAACTTTGTACTTGAAATTCCTGTCATCATGTACGATATGTCAAGCTGTAATATATAAAAAGCAAATGTCCTTGGCTGAATTTGGAAATTATTAGGAGCGATTCGGCATTATAAACATAAAATTTTGTGCATCGCACAAATCACACACATCAAACTCTTTGTTGTAAGTGTGTATATCCGATTAAGAGTACAAAATAGGAGTGTAGCTAATTCAATTCGTCATGAATACCTTGCTCCGTGATGGAATAGATGGCCTCAGATTCGGGAAGAATCGGAGAGTCTACGACTTTCATGACACGATTCTCACCACGACCTTTTCTTAAGCGAAGCCTGTCATTGATAAAAACGTCACCTTTTCGCCACTAGTTGATAATGTTCACATTACTGACCTCGTACAAGACGCATGAGCCATGATATTGCCTCCAATTGGTTGAAGAGGGTCCTTCGCAAACATCCCAGAGTCTGGATTTGCGGTCATCTAGCAACATGAAAAATTATAAAGCGTGGGTCAACATGTTCACTCCGATCCAAGCAACGCATCATTTACCTGATTTGTAATCACAACGGCCACCCCAAACTCGTCAGCCATTCTCGTAAGCGCGCGTAGAAACCTAACAACGCGCCAGATTCAGGTGAGAATGATCCTAGCAAATTAAGTTCGCAATTCTAATCTCGCACTTAGCCAATTCTTGTTGTCGAGCCGCCAGCTCACCACGACCAGAGTAATCGGTTCTAAACAACGCTGTAGCACTATCAACAATGACAAGAGCAAATCGAGACTCTGCCATCATAGCAGATGCTTGTATCAACAATTGCATCTGATGCTCCGAATTGTATGCACGAGCAAATGCCACATTATCAAGTACACTAGCTCCATCTAATCCATATCTTTCTGCAATAGCTTGCAGTCGTTGTGGTCGAAAAGTCCCTTCCGTGTCGATATAAAGTGCTTTGCCTTCTCCACCTCCACGATCTACTGGTAACTGACACGTAACGCAGAGCTGGTGGCATAATTGTGTTTTGCCTGTCCGAAATTCTCCAAATATTTCTGTAATTGAGCCAGTCTCAATTCCCCCTTTTAGTAATTCATCCACAGCAGTCGACCCAGTTGAGAGAGTGATCAAATCCTTTCGACTTTCTAGTACATCTGCAGCCTACGAATACTAGTATATGTCAATTCAAAGAAAGAAATGGTAGCTCATTCCATTAGTTTCGCACCGTTGTAAAGCCTACATTAACCATCTCCCTTGCGGCCTTGAGCATCTTTTCTGCCTTAATTTCACTAATACCTTTAATACTCACAAGTTGCTTCTTGGTGGCCATAGCAACGGCATCGACTGTATGCATGCCAGCCTCCTTTAATTTATTTACGTCAGTAGCATTGATACCCACTTGCTCCAAGATGTTCACAAGACGTGGGCCTTGCTGTTGCAGTGTATGTGCATCAGAGTGAGATAATCATATAGACACGCTACTTGAGTATCGTACCAATTCATGCTCTTCCATTTCCATCACTTGCTCTTCTTCCTGGTACTGACCATTCATCATGCTATTGGTGTCTTGTTCTCGTTGCAGCTACGGCAATTCTATTGATTGTGCTGGCAATCAATTGTCATTCACTCTCCCGCCAAATTCCAAATTTCTTGTATCAATTTGAGGTTTTGGGTCGAAAATTTCATGTCATATTTTTAAATCGAAATTTGCTTTCAAAGTAATCATGGGTCAATTATTGTACACTGCCTCTTACAGTGCACAACCCGTCAAGGGTCCTTACAAATGCAAGATTTTATTGACGTTCCAAAATGGCAGCATCTGTCTCGTCATATTGACTTAGTTGTTCGAGATACGGAGCATAGTGGACCAGCGATACTCTGATCGGCCGTCGACGATACTGCCTACGATCGTTGCGAAAAATTGCACTAGGATTGTACTAAGCTGAATTTTGCTATTGCAATATTAGTATTAAAACAGTGATTAGATGAATTCGACGGGACCAACGACCTTGATGCGTTGGTGAGCTAAACATTGTACTCTTACTGACGCAAGAAGAAAGGTGACTTTTACTGCTGCCGTCTTTTTCGCAGCAATGTGCCTGCCACGTTGACTAATGACATAGTGTTTGCCTTGACAAAGTGTTATGTATTTATGTTCCGCCTAGCGTTAGTCGATGGATGTTTTCCCTACTTCAAATAAATCATGAATGTCAGACGGACTATCACTTTCGAAACCACTGTATGGAATCGTCGAACTTGTTCAGCTAAAGCACTAAAGAAACAGTTTAGGTCGTGTCTCGGCATGCTCAGCTTGTCAATTTTTGAAGCAGGGAAGAATAAGGCAAGGAGTATCATCATGCATGCTTCTCTTTGTCGTTCACATGATCGGTATAATATAACAACCTAGAGAGTACGAGATGTCTTCATATCGATAGGGTCAGTAAAATTTTCACTAGCCAACCTACAATCACAATACCTTTCACCAGTTAGTATCGGTGATGCTTAATTTCGTCAGAGCCGCCCTTGTGGCACAAAATTTACGGCGTCTAGCAGCAGCGCTTTTGGAAACAAAGCTGTTCAAGCTGATCGCTGTTAACCTTTGTCGCAGTAAGTAATCGGTCTTCAAATTTGTTGGCATATGTATAGTGCGACACACAGGTTTCCACATTCAGTCTTGCGCTATGTTGCAGCCATAAAATATGTAGGGTACTAAGAGGCAATTCTGTCATACTATTCATCCTTCTTTCTATCGAACGACAACGCTATTTTGACTTGCACATACTTAAAATTAGCACGTGAGGGACAAGGCAAGATAGATTGATGAAGATTTCATATGAAATATGGCGTAATATTAATCAGATACCTCTGTCGCATTTGGCCATATGTTTGACGGTATAAAGACCTCAAAAATGCTGATAACAATCTTCATTGATGAAGGAAATAGACGAGCATTGTCAGCATGTAATAGCCTTAAGTACATACGAAACTATACATATCTTGCCTTGTGCTGTGTCAGCATCTGTCAGATCTATAGAAAGGGTATATATCTCTAAATGTTACAATAAATTGGTGCTAGCACTGTGGGTGCTACAGACACTAGTGTAACGATGTGAGAATTTCTTGAACGTCACATTCACTTGTTGAGGCTTTGGTTCAGTCTGTGCACGTTTTGAAGGCACCAAAAACCTTATGGAGTGATGGATTCACTCTACTGTATGCTCAGTCAACAAAAAGATACTGCGAGCTCACTATACTATCCTACATTAAGATGCCCAACTGACGCAACAATTTGAATTTATGATACCACAAGTCTCTTCTTTAGGCACGCAAGTTGTCATCCGGAAGCAGAAAGTGACGCGGCTGACTTCAGTATTCCGCAGCTTACACGTTTACTGCAGTATAGCTAACGCATTATATTCCAAACACGTAGTTGCGAATTCAAAGTCAATTTCCTCATAATGATTGCTAGTCAAAGTGTTCGAGGGATCCTGAATGAGCAACTTTTGAACACGCAAAGTTTCAACGTGTTTCTTTTCTTCATTTTCCAATTTATTACCACCGTCGATACCCATAGAAATTATGACCTTCGAGAGCGAGGACTTAACTCGCCAACAGATGAAATCATACTGGACAGAGCATAGTGGCAGCACAAATATCGAAAATATGATGCTCGACACGAATGCTCAAATCCTTCATGAGCTTGAAGTGCCCGAGATTATGGAACGTGCTCCCTCAATGAAGGATAAGGACGTACTGGAAATCGCCGCTGGTATTGGCCGATACACGTCCATTATTGGAAAGAGTGCCAAGAGTGTTACTGCTGTGGAATTCATTGAAGATTTTCACAAGGCCAACGTTGCGTCTAACGGACATCTACACAATGTCACGTTTCTCTGCAAGGATGTTGTCAACCTTGAGGCCAAACCCAACTGCTTTGACGTTATTTATTCCAATTGGCTTTTCATGTATCTAGGGGATGAAGAAGTTCAGGAATTTGCCCAGAAGGCCATTAAGTGGTTACGCCCCGGTGGACGACTCTTTTTCCGCGAATCTTGCTTTCGGCAGTCGGGAGACGTTAAACGGAGCAACAATCCAACGCACTATCGTCACCCTGCGTTCTATATTGGAGCTTTTAATTCAGTGGTGTCGAAGGAGGGTAATGGAGGCCTTGCTTACTTTAACCTTGAGTCCTCCGGCAGCATTTCAGTCTATCGCAAGGTCAAGAAAAACAGCGGACAGATCTTTTTCAGCTACACGAAAGCTATTAAGGAGGGTTCGGACAACGACATTGAGGCCGTAGCCACTTTTCAGAAATTCCTCGACGAACAACAATACTCAAAGCAGAGTATCATGCGCTACGAGAAGATCTTTGGTCAGGGATACGTTAGTACGGGTGGACAGTCCACCACAACCGAGTTTGTTGAGAAACTCAAGCTCCAGCCAGGTGAAAGAGTTTTGGATGTAGGTTGTGGAATTGGTGGAGGTGACTTCTACATGGCACGTCAGTTTGGCGTCTCTGTTCTTGGTATTGATCTGTCCACTAATATGGTACACCGTGCGCTTGAAATTTCCATGGAAGATTCAAGCATTGACGTCGAGTTTGAGATTTGTGACGCCACCAAAAAGCAGTTCTCAGAATGCTCCTTTGACGTAATATACTCTCGCGACACGATTCTTCACATTGAAGATAAGCAGGCATTGTTTGCCAAGTTTTATCGTTGGTTGAAGCCGGGAGGTCGTATCCTCATCTCCGACTATTGCAAAGGAGAGCAGGAACCAACGGACCGCTTCAAAGCATACGTTGCTAGTCGTGGGTATCATCTGCTGTCCCCATCCAAATACGGAAAGACGCTAGAGTCAGCAGGTTTTACGTCGGTGATAGCTGAAGACCGTACTGAACAGTTCATCAAGGTGTTGAAAGATGAACTGGCGCGTACATTGGCGCAAAAAGAGCAATTCATTGCGGAAACGAGCGAATTGGACTTTCAATACATTGTAGACGGGTGGGAGGCGAAGCTCGTTCGTTGTGGCGAGGGTGACCAAAAGTGGGGTCTCTTTTATGGCAAGAAGGAGTAAATTCTTCGTGGCAGTCATCTCATGTAGGATACGTTGAGCCACGAGCTTAAATCGCGGTACGCGTGATAGCTTTTTTCTACAAAATCGACGAGGTGTTGCATGTACTGCACAAATAAGCAATTGATGCATTTAGCTCTGTAAACTGGCAGCATTACCAGGCATCTCGACTACCGATTCACACAAAATGAAGAAATTAAAGACTTTACTTTTCCTTTTTGTCAGTTAATCTAAAAACCATGCAGCATTTGTGCGATTTTGTAGACTTCGTGCAAATGTACTTCACGTACGGCAGCCACCATTGCACAGCCAACATTGACCGCTCGGATCTACTTCTACTATTCGCATATTTTCGTAGCAAAAGCCACCAAGATCCTCGTAATTGCCATCTATTCTTACATTGATGTTCAGACTCATCTCCATCTTGCGCTAGACTTCATTGCTGCACAGTATAGCGCATAGAATCGTATTAAGATTTACTAATAACAAAAGAACTCGTTCCACAATTGTATTGTACTTACTTAAACTAAGACAAATATTGAAACTAATGACAATACAATCATGAGGACACTTTGATCAAGTAATTGTTTTCTTTGAGCACTTTTCTAGATGATACAATCAACAGGGAGTGTGTAAATTTATTTCCTTTGATAACTATTGCATCATTATTAAAAAAACAAAATAGATTACCAAACTCGCAGCGTGTGCTTGATGCTAGAGAGACTAAAAACCAGACGAACAGCAATTCGTTGTTTGTAGACACTTGTCCCAGCTTCTGTTGATCCCTGATCGTAGATACTGAAGGTTACATTTACTGCTTAACCTTTTTTTACCGCATGTGCAATGTCTGCAAAATTTACCTTCACTGAGTTGACTTCTTTTTCGTGATCAGCTTTCAGAAGGGCGACTTTATACTTGTGTTCACTTTGAAGCTCATACTTCTCATACATTCTTGTGAGTTTGAGCCACAAAATCTTCAACCAAATCCAAATTTTGTCCAGCACACCTGGTGTTTTAACCACTTCATGAGACCTCAAAAGCCGCGTGGTGAAGGAAGAGTCGAGGCCATTGGTTGACGCTAAGCGAATTTCTTTTGATCTGAAAGTGACTTCCAAGCTCACGAACACCACCGCGGCAACGATCAGGATCACTTGATATCGCTTCATCATTGAGGCAAAAGACGTCGGGTGGGTATGGAAAATTCGTGAATGATTAGAATAAACAATCGTCAATCATGTGGCTGCATCAAAAGACTGGCTCCTTTTTCCAATCTGGTGATAAAATAATGCGAATATAGTTCTCGACTCAATATTCATTGCAGTACTGAGTAAAGGCGCGAGTTTTGCTGTCATACGATGAGATGCACTTCATCTATATTCATTAATCGCAGAGAAAGGAATGAATTATATTGATTAATTTAGCTCTGAGCACGACAACTGTTTGCTCGATCCTACGTATATTTGGCACATCTACGATCTCGCTCCCTTCTGCAAGATATATATCGAACTGGGCGCTCTCTATATAGAAGATCATTCTTATTAATTCAGCTCCAGTAAGGGGTGTGCACTGAAGATAAGCTCATATGTTATCAACGAGATATGTCACCATCACTAACGCTACATTTCGTATCATGCTCTGTAACTGGCTTTTATCTAAATTATCTACGAAAAGATATCCCGATGATACATATGGCGATTTTTTCACCATATGCTCATCTCGAGAAAATTGATCCCCACACTTCATTCCCCAACTTTCCTTTGAAAGCCATCCTTCTCTTTGCGTAATGAAGCATGTCAAAGTAATTGCGCTATTTGCTACGCTCCTCTTCTTGGCGTGTGTTCCCGTCTCTTCAACCACAAAATTAAATGAGAAGTCAGCCGCAAATAACGATTTCACTTCAGCCGCTTCACTACCAACAGTTGACAGGGAGGAGAGAGGAGTACCTTGGTATTTCCATCCTATCAAGCTTGGAAAAGTCACCTCGCTCAAGCTTGAAGAGTATTTGGCAAGATTGAGGTTATATATGAAGTATCTGCGGAGAAGATGGGATTTGAGAAGGGAGCATAAACAGAAAGTAAAGGCGCATCAGCTAAAAAAAACGGAAAAAGAACTTGACCTGATGGGTAAACTACATTCAACATGAGGCCGTGGCTGACGAGACGTCTGGTACGGCATTTCACAGCATCAAAGTACTTTAAATGCTAACAATTTGTGTTGAATTTGTGCTGAATTTAGCTTCCTGGACTTCCGGCTCAAGTAATTTGCTCATGGCGGTAAATTAGTCAAAAATTTAATACGACCCTTTGATCTTCGCTTGTTTCTATCGTGAGTTTGCACAAGTTTCCTATATTGGATAGATCCGTGCTACAACCAATATCAGTAATTGTACGCTCGCTGTAGTTCGAAACATAGCAGAGTAAGCCAGCGTAATTTCTTATAATTTGCTGTATTCATCGTATTATTGTTTGCATCTAGTAATTTAGGATTATCCTATTGCAACAAAATTCTCACTTATTCGCCCACATACTCGCTTATCCTCGTCAGTTCCACCTTTATAACCAAAAATTGAGTGGCGTTCACGTCGTTCTTCCTTCATAATTCCAGTAATTGTCAAGTAATAGTCACGTTTTCATCATGCAATTGTTTTTTACAAGATACACTTGCATTGAAAGGCGTAATCGTGCAGCACGCCCTGAAGTCGCTCATTGGTTTTTAACTGTCTCATTGCAGCATATTAGCGCTTCGCTCCTGTTACACGATCAAAATTATTGCAGCACGACCTGTTTAAGGTCCTTCCGAACGCGTTCAAGAGATTGGAAAGCACAAAATTTGTTGACAAAGCCGAGAATGCACTAGTGTCACTAAGTGTCATGAATGAAAACGAGTTTGACAACGTTTTCGCCATCATCGCAGGTCGAAGAGTTCGTAGCTAAGATATAGCCGTCACTTTTCGTTAATAGTCTTTTTAGAAAACAGACCCCATTTTCTTTAACTTGTTTTCTCGCTTGAAAATATTTTCGTGAACAGGACACATGTGCTATTTGCCTGTGGTGCAGTTTTCTTCTGCATTCACTTGCTGTACTTCTAGCTTCATTCATTTTGATGGTGTTCCAAGAACTTCTTTCGCTCTATCGCATCGATCCATCACTTGACATACACTGAAACGTCTCGATCGCTGTGCTTTACCTTCGTCGAATTTTGCTTTGAAATGTACGCAGTCAATTCAGTTTCCATTTCTAGCCTTGCGCTATATGATGCGCATGAAGCTTAACAAAAGTTTCAACGTAATCCGCTACCGATGAAAGTTCCATGTTCCTAATTAGGTCAAGTTGAATCGAAATCATGTTTACTTTATTTCGATTTTGCCGCGAAATTAAATATTTCCACGTGTTAAAGCTCAATTGTTTCCGTGTCTACTCGTCATTCACAAACTCTCTTGAGTGATAAGTTTGTCGCCGTAAATCTTTCCTTCCAACGTACTATTTATTGATCGTACTTGTTCTTCCTTTACAATGTCATCACGTCTTGTGTAAGTTTTGGCTTATTCGTTTTTCTTAGAATACAAGATTCGAAGTTTCTGCTTCCTTGCAATAGTAAAACCTTATTTTTACGTGATGTTGCGACTTATAGCGACGTCTTGCTTCGAAGTTTTCCTTCCCTGCCACGCAGTCACTCTGGAGGTTCAACCTTTGCTTACTATTTTGATCATGATAGAAGGACACTTGATGAGCAAAAGATTGAAAGCTTAACTCTTACATTATTTCTGTTCTCTCATTTGTGGCGATAAACTTTCTTTAATCATCGCCATCGTTACGCACTTCTCACTCTACGTTCAATTCGCTTAATATCGACGACTACTTCGTCTTAATTTACACAACAAGAGCGTAAATTTGACCGGACTGATGAAATATCGCAGCCTCTTGATGATGAGGTTAATGACAGATCCATACAATTCATTCTTGAGCTGAGCTTCAATTTCGTCATAAACAATTGAGTTTCGTAACCACGTTGTTTCTCATTCAACTTCTATACTGTGCTCTATTAGAAATCAATTATTTTTTTCGTTAAGCGGGTATTAGTTGCGACGAGCCTGCGCCTATTTAGTAGATGCTGTTTCATCAGGATATTTCGTCGATATCGATGTTATTCAATCAGGTGTATACACTGCGCTTGCTGCTCTCAGCGTTTTCCCCTCAAAAGCCATTAGAAGATCGCCTTCATTTCGCTTGACAATCCTCAATCACATTTCTCACCCAATCGCTAGATTCTTTCACAAAGAGTTGATGGATCAGTGAACACTTTTGCTTCTTGTTGTCCATCTGAATCACAAACTGCGTAAAACTATCGGTTTTGAAGTGAAAAGAGCTCATCATTTTTACGGACCGTCTCAACGGCGTTTGTCCCTTCCATCATCATCGATGTCTCAAGCTGCCAAGCGGCTTCTCTAGCTTTGTCGACAGCTGGCAGCCTTTGATCACTTCTTGTTTTACATTAAACTTTCGTCAGTTTGATCTTCTTCCCAAACTTCTATTCATGACATTAACAGATGCCTGCAAACTACTCTCACACACCATCGAACTTTAGAATATATTACATAACATCGTCTTCATTCTTTACTCAATCATTACATCTGCATTGCAATACGCAGACACGCATGGGACAAACTCAAAGTGCCCACGAACATCAACACGGTTCATCTGGGGCTACCACTAAATATTCAATACATCACTACCAATCCATTACCACTACCATCACTTGTCAGTCAAAGTGTGTAGCTAGTATTTGCAGCACCAACTAGAGCGATAATCTATCCTTTGAACCTGTATGCAAAATTAAACGCCGATCTCCGCATTCCTTACAGGAAATAGACATGAACTGTCGATCAATCCACAAAACATCCGACGTCCATATAAACATTGAACCAATACTGTTTTTGATTGCTTGTTCTAACCATAAAAATCAATATTTGTGGGAGGCCGGCCCTCCCTCTGGTCGCATCATTTGTCTAAATCATCAATAAATAACCATCTTTGAAACCCAAACATTCTCATTTTGGAAAATAGCTTTTCAGATGCCACATCCACCACTTCTATAAGAGCTGTCTTGACGGGAACCTTCTCTGACCAATATTGCCGCGCACACCCATTCGGACTGCACTTGCTGGGCGAGCCGATATTGGATTCACAATCATTCGATAGCTTCTCAAATTGACGACAAGAGCGATCTAAACTGATGAAATCAACCTAGTCTAATGATAAAGGTGATGAGTTTCTACCTCGGAATTCGCTGAGTCATTTACAATAGCAAATTCAGGATAGTCAGTCATGACCAAAAGAGATTAAGACACCAAGACAGTCGCTATATCCTGGAATTGCATGATTTATCAGTCTTGGTTAGTCTTACAAGAGATAACGAATACGCCCAGTCCCAATCCTGCTGCTTCAATTTGCGTTTCCAAAAAATTAAGTGATTATCGCAGCTTTGAGGAAAAGATAGTTACACAGCGAAATAAATTTCGCGTCTGGAAATAAGAAATGAGGGAGAACAGTGGCGTTAACATATTCGCGAGTATATAAACCGTAATGGGAGCCATTAGAGAACGCGCAGCTAAACTGATGATTCCTGTAGTCAGTTTACGATTCCTCGTATCATCGTTTTAAAGATTTCTATTACCTTCCTTTAGCAGCTCATAACCACACACTTAAGATATTGGAATGATATCGGACCCGAACAGTTCTCTGTTAAAAAGAAGACTTTTACCGGGAATATCCAATATCTTGTTAACTTCCTACTCGTTTCGCACCTGTGAGCTGCAGCTCGCACAGTATAATTTGACGTAAGCAAACGATTTTCAGAATTTCGGGAGCTATTTTCAGCCTTTCAACCACATTCTTCGAGTTCAAGGTCATCGGACAATGTTCATAAAGAAAAAAAACATGTTAAAATTTTACGAATTTGAAAAAGCAATCTCTTACAAATTCTAAAGTTTTTCATCTATACATATTATTCCAGCAATCCTGAACGGACGGATATCAAATCTTCATAGCATTTACGAATTTGCGGCTTTAAATTTTAAACGTCTCCAATATCCGTATCCAAGCTGCATAGAGATCTTGCGCTTCCCGCAGTCGTTTTCATCTAATAATTCAGTGGCTAGCATATGGGAGCGACTGCTACAAACCTTTGCTTTAACATCTCCAACCTTCAATTCTTCTATGGTACGTGTCATAGCTTGTTTCGTAAAATCTTGAATTAACTTTGTTGTCACTTGATCTAGGCAAAGTTCAAGGTGGGAACGCTTTTGTTGGAGGTTGGCAACCCTCCAGAATGGAAATCTTTTGAAGTCTTACTTGCTGGATCTAGCACTGCAGATTTAGGGCTGTACTATTATCCAGACGGGACCTCAACGATGCCATTAGGATGCATTCGTCTCCAAAGTGCTCACATTGACAGTCTCGAAGATGTTTTGATGGTCGTAACAAATGACAAGACTTGGTTTCTATGTGCTAGCAGCAGACATGATGCCAGCGATTGGAATGACGCCATTTGCAATGCAGTCAAGCGCCTCAGTAATGAGCAGACACATCACCAACGTTCTTATGAGATTTCAACTTGTAAGCTGTCTGATATGCAATCACGTGACTCAGAAGCCAGAGTGGAATATTTTCTCAATTTTTTTGTACAATCGACGGTTGAAGATTTGTCCTTGAAAGCAGTGGAAGGAAAATTTTCGCAGTCTTGTATGCGAAGTCTTGTGTGGAAAGTGTGGCTTGACTATCTTCCCAAAAATGTGCCATTCAATCAATGGCTAAAAATTGCTCGAGAAAAAAGACTTGGCTATGAGAGAAAGCGCTGTCAGCATCTTCTATTTAAGAATTTATGTGCTGTTAAGCAACGACCGGAAGACTTTTTGACTTTGTGTGAGACCTCAACGAACAGTTTATTGTATAATATTTATAAGGATGTTCGACGCACCCATGGAGAACTGCCATTTTTTCGTGATCCTTTTGTGCAGTGTGTGATGATTCGTGTGTTATACATTTACTCTATCACTCATTCAGAAATCTCGTACAATCAAGGCATGGGTGATCTTCTGGCGACATTGCTATATCTACTTCACATCGAACAGTGGCCGCTAAACGATTATTCCTGTAATGTTATTGCAAAACAATATGATGCAAGTCGATCCAGTGATTCGAACTTATCTGCTAGAAAAAATTATGAAGACGGCACGTTTAGTGAGGCATACATGTCCTGTAATAGCGAGAATTCCCATTGCGATAGTTTTTTTCGGTCACAACCGTTTTCCGGATCATCAAATCATTTTCAGCAGTGCTGCCGTAAAGCTGCAGGTTATATTGTGCGTGAATTAACGTTGTCCGAGTTCATTGAGCATGACGCATACCTTTTACTTGAAAAAATGATGGTGCGAATGGCTGGCACATATTGTCCTCGAATTTCAATATCTTCTCAAATGTCAGAGCCACAAATCGATAAACCTTTGTCTTCAGCCGACCAATTGCCAGTGCTTCCTCTTGATCACCAAATGAATCGTGTTCATTACCAAGTTTTGAGCCAGTTTGATCCTCAAACGGCAGAGTGCCTCGTCAAACTTGGAGTTGAGCCACAGATATTTCTTCTTCGCTGGATTCGTGTTCTAATGGCTCGGGAATTTGAAATGCAGCACGTTTGGCAGATTTGGGATGCTATCTTCAGCTTAACGCCAAGTGACTTCTCGTTCATCAATGTGCTTTGTGTTGCCATCGTATTAGAATTACGTGACGAGATACTAGCAGCAGAAGACGCCACTACTGTTCTACTTTGTTTGCGCAATATTTCAGACCATATCAAGGGCACAAGATTAGTGGACAGTGCGCGTGAGTTGTACGATGCGCTGCTGATTGCGACAGCGATTAAAACTTCCATGAAACCAAAGTAGAGCGTTTTATCTAAGACACGGATTGAAGCTGAAGTTTGACTTGCATTGATTCACCAGTTCAACTTTTTCTATTCTTCCCGTTCTTCTTCGATGAATGTTTCTTACCTAACAAATTGCCATGACGAAACTTTGGCTGCAATTTTGTTGGCGCTTTTCGCTTGGCTTTAGCTTGTGCAGCTTCAGCTTTGAGATCCACACGAGGCAAGTCCGTGCGCACCTCAACTGTGGTTTCTTTTTCCATCATCTTCTCGTGCTCCTTCTGTAAACATGCCATTCAAGTTATAAACAATTCGAGCAAACAGCAAACAACGTGTGATAAACCGTACGAAATTTGTGCGAAATGTAATCATTCGCTCAAGTTTCTCGCGGTTGTAGAATTTTCCCTTTGTGTCCACAAGAAAGAATCCACGGGTGTTGGAAAGCTTTAAAATAATGTTGTTCTTTGTATTGGGGTGAGCTGACACGTAAGAGATGGGTACATCAATAGGCGCTCCGAGGTTCTAAAGTAAGTGGAAAGAGATGTGAGAAAGTTTGGTACACAAGCACTACAACGAAGATGAAGCTCAGACCCCAAAAAACTTGTGCGTCGTGAAGCGCAGCTTATCACCCCCTGCTACAATCGATATACGCGCCACTGTTCGCTAATGTACAACAAATCACCACATATAAATCTTCAATCAATTAAGCTCCTATTTCATATATAATTTCCTACTCTTGCATGGAAACCAATAAGACCAGCCAGGATTATGCTCATGCCAAATCCCAAGGACGAGCCTAAGTCATCTGTAACGAACGAAAAGAACGTCGGCTCGCCTAGTATTGGGTGCACTGCAGTCAAACGCACTTTTGATTAGTTTTCTTCAATGTATGGCTCAGAACCACCACGTACTCTCAACAAGACTCTGCTCATAGCCCTTAAGCCATGACCAAAATGTGATCTACTTAGCCTTCTGGTGAGAATCAACATTGATAGCAACTTGAGTTGAAGAAATACGTACATGAGCTAATGATCCAGCAGACATGTAGCCAAAGTAGCTCTTCATAACAGCATTAGACTTCTGATCCCACTTCCATATTAATATTTTCGCTTGATGCACTGCACCTTGCGCGGATATTCATAAAGAAGATCGCCGCCTTGCTTTTCAGCATGTTCTGGATGATTAGACAATACATTATCCCATAACTCACTGTTTGTCAGCTCTTCTTGCTCGCTCTTTCTGGTCTTCTGCTCCGTTAGTGTTCTGTTGTCAAAGTCATTAAGTGGCAATTGCAGATCGTTTAAGAGTAAAAGAAACACGTACGTAGAGCTTGTGAAATGCATAGATTGAACTATGCGGCTGCTAGAGCAACGTGATTGCAGTGAGATGCGGACGCATGGACGTTGTAAGACATTAAGCAACATGGAAGATGCGCGATTTACTTGAGCCATGAGTAGCTCTGTCCGAAAATTTCAAATAACTGAATAGTAAAAATCAGTGTAATAATGTAAGGGCAACTTACTCCGGACATTTAAGCTTTGCAAATCTTAAAATGAAGCGACGACCTCGCGAGGTGCCAGTGACAAAACCTTCAGCCGTACAGAGCTACATGTACATGCAATGCTTTATATTCAGACTTAGTCAGTAAATTAACTTTTTTGTAGACCAAGCGTGCTATTACGTTCCGATGACCGTGAGAGTCAACGGACGTGGCTGCCAAACGAGCGAAAACCTGGTGCATCAAAGCACTTGGCGTTGAATCAAAAGCACGATGTCATGAAAATCAAGTATATTAGCATTGATATTTTTGATATGAATCGAAATGAATAGAATTGCATTTGATGACTGACTCAGAGTCGACATGAACGACTACTGTACTGAGGTTGAGGTGAATAAGCTTCAAGCGCTAGAAGAAGAGGTATTTACTGTTGAGCTTATCGACTTTCAAACTCTATTGATTTGTTCTTTGACTAAGGTTACAATCTTAGAAAACACGGTCGGGTGGACATTCGTAACACTTGTTCAGCGACCAAACAGCTGACGGTGTTGTGACAATCAGATGGAAAAGTTTATCGAGGAATTCTACATGGCAGCAGCCATGTTCACCGCACAAAAAACTGCACAGAAGACGTACGTACCAGAACAAAAAGTCTCTTTAATCACAGGGTACTCCACGTACATTTTTCTACAGCCTTATAGATCGCCTCAAACGAGCACATGTTTCGTCTCCTTTTGCTGAAACGTACAAGTGAAAATTACCGCGCACAGCCTTTGCATTCTAAAATGATGATACCAAGCATATACTTTGCAGAAAGTCCAGTCAACAGTGATGGAATTGCGTTAATGAAGCTGGCAGTTGCACGACATCACTTTGTCTTCCGCTTTAGTCAATTTAAACAATGTACATCAACCGTCCACCTCAGAATATATCGGGTGGTGGTGGTGGTAAGAAAGATCCATGACCTCCTCGTAGTTCGCTCTGTTGTACCACATATTGTAATCGGTAGTTGGTAATGCGTAGCTGCTTAACTTGTGTCTGAAGATCCTCAATCACGAGTTGTTGGGTCTCAGTCTGATGCCTGTATGTATCCACTTCACCAAGCGCAGCCTTCAGCAGGTGATTTTGATGTTCTGCGGCTTCAAGTCGAGTCTGCATCGATCGCATTTCTTGTTGCCAGCGCTGCAACTGCCGTTCCTGGTCCAAGACTCGACGTTCATTCTCCTCCTGAAGTCGTCGCACCTCGCACTGTAGCTGCACCGCATGATCTGAATGCTGATTTTCGCTAGGAGTAGAACTTCGTTCGTGTAACTTGAGTGCATTTAGCCGCTCGATCGTTGCGTCGAAGTCCATCGCCGTCAAACGTCTCTTGCTTGTCGCGTCTTGGCTTCTGGTATGGAATGTTGACTTTCGTACTTATTTCATTACTCTGACATCAACACAGACACGATACCGGTACATGTTTATGTGTGAAAATCATAAATTTCTAGTACTATTTAGCAATATATATAGTTTTTCTGCAAGGAATAAGCTACATTCACTTTAAATTTATAACGCTACTGTTGTGTACATATATGCTTGAGTATCATTAGAACAATGCCAATCTGTCGTTCTACGAGGAAACAATGGTAATGCACTTATCTGTGCTATTTATGCCGGTGGAGTGCAGATGCTTCACTTGCAATAGCTCTATGCGCAATTGCTTTTTTGTGTAAACCATAAGCCACCACATACCTAGTATCGTTAAAATGGTGCCTCCAGCACCAATTAATATCCGATCCTGGAACGATGTATTACTTAACGTTACAGCTTCATCGTGAGCGATCAGATTCTTGCTATGGTACCCAATATACGTCCATAAAATAGCGTACGGGAGGCCACCTAGAGCTGAAGATACAGCGAACTTGTACGTTGAGATATCAGTGATGGCTAATCCAAAACACTTGACGAGATGCGGTACATTTGCAACTTGAATCAACAGTAGTACTTTCCAATTTGAGTTTTGCAACACCACTGTCAAGGCCGCAAAAGTGGGAAAGTTCGTCTTCATGTAGATGCTGATACGGTTCTTTCCGAAGAAACTAGCCGCTAAAAATGCGAATAACTGACCAATGGTCTTGCCAATGACACAAAGCAACGCACCGAGAACGATACCAAACATGGATCCAGCCAGAATTTCGATACCTGGTGACGGTATACAGAGTGGAATACTGGCAGCTAAGAGAAGCGGAAGTATCATGGCTCCTACCATAGGGTTGGCTTCGATCCAGCTTGTACTGCTCGTGATGTAGAGCTTCATAGGCACGAAAATCAGGAACATGATGATTGCACAGCACAATACCAATGTCCATGCTGCTACTTTGAGACGTCGCCTTGTTGTATCCAACATCTGCGTTAGATATTTGTAGTAGATTGAAAGATTGAGAGTACATGGACAAGATATGATGAAAGTTGAGTCCCTGCAACTCAGTCGAAAATAGCAATTGAAGAGATTTTATGTACCTTAGTGCAAGAAACAAGTAATAATATTTTCAAGAGACACTGTACATCACCAATATTCCATAGATTCGTATGAAAATTTTCTTTGGATCCCTCGACAGATATGACGGGTAGTAAAGTAGATTAAAAAGGGCAGTTTATTCTCAGATGTATGATGAGAAGAGATACAAGAATGCTTTCGCTATTACGTTGATCTACAGCCTTGAAAAATCCATTATTTAAATATACAATTCTTGCTCTTTGAGAATTTTTTATATATTTCAAACGCCAATATAACCATCAGTCTGCTTCGATCAATTATGCTTCAGAGATTTGAGTCCGTGCGTAATCATCAGCATGATAGGACGCAAAGAACTGGTAAACATTGTGCTTGCTGGCATGCTTTGTCGAGATCCTGATTCGTTGTTGATGAATACAGAGATGAGAACCCAATTCCATACAGAATCATAACAGAACTAAAATTACTTCTTAATTTATGCTTGAGTATAATTTAAAATGCATAATCGCCATTAAGTGAATTGCAAAATTAACTTCGTTGGGCGTTACGAATTTGTTAATACTTAAGATTTATATTACAGTAGCACATTATAAGAATAGATTATATAAGAAGCTCCTGTTGTCTCGATGTATTGTGATTGATCTACTCCTTTACATGCCTCAGATGATAGCTAGTTACAGCGCAGTATACTCACCGCATATGATTACTCTCGATGATTCGAAGCGCAATATGCGGCTGTTGTGGCTGCGTTTTGGTGCTTTTGTCGCGCTATTCATTCTAATCATGTCATATCTGTCCACGTTGCCTATACGAGAGTACATGGAGATTACAAGTGCGTGGGTGAGACTACATCCTGTTTTAGGCGCTCTGTGCTCTATTCTGGTCTTTTGGGTGGCCGTTCCACTCTGCCTACCTGCCACGGTGTTCGAAATGATTGCTGGCTCTTTGTTTGGTGTCCCTCTTGCTGTTATGATTATCATAGTGGGCAAGACTGGTGGATCTACACTCGCGTTTCTATTGGGACGTTCGATGGGCAAGCAATTAATTGGCGATTACTTTCGCCATAAGTTTCCAACCTTTCGAGCTTTCGCCGAGGTGCTTAGTAGTCCGAGTTGGAAACCTGTACTGCTTTACCAGTTATCCAGTATCCCAAATCTTGTGAAAATTTACAGTCTAGCAATTACCCACGTGTCGATAACTCGGTTTGCCGTTTCGTCGGCGATAGGAACTACTCCTCACGCCATATTATGGGCATATATTGGTGAACAAGCGACTGATATTGCTGCGATTCTTATGGGTGAGGCCAAGGTTACTACAAGTCGAATGGTCGTAGCTGCCACGGGCCTTTCGCTTACTGTGCTGGCCATCACTTTTCTCGTCGTATACACAAAGCGGCAGCTAGAAGAACTCAAAAAGCGAGAGTGTCGCAGTAGCAGCGAAGAGGGACTATTGCTTTCTATAGACATCGACACTACGAATTCAGCCCAAAGCACAACGCAGTGTGTTAGCTTAATCACACCTACTCGTTTGTTAGGTAGCTAGTTCTTGTCTAAATGAAATCATTTTATTTTCTTTGGCGATTAAAGCGTTTACTGAGTAGTTACAAGCAGATTGCGTTGGATACGGAACAAAGATTAGTAAGTGCTCAGTACAAATGGACTAGTCGCTACAAAACAGACGTTCCTTAGAATCGTACTACGATCACCTGAACCAAAGTTCAAGCCATTAACACTGCAAACTAAGCTCAATATGGTTGTGAGGCTGCATCCACAGTCACGAAGTTCATGCGGGTAGTGACGTTTACCACATATCGACTGCATACTTCGCTTACTCTTGTTTGCACTTGGGAGAATCAATAGATGCTGATCATTGGCATTGTATAAATGGAATACTTTGGAGATGCAGATAATTGACACCTTTCAAGTGTCACTTGAATAATATTCAACTTAAGTAATTTATTTACCGTGAAGTAGATGCAATCATGTCACTCTGATCCTAAAAATCGAATGTAATAAGCTGATAGATTATTGAAACAGTGCTGTACTTTAAGACGTATATCCTTCATTTTTGTGTCTCTAGATTGTAACCAAATAAACATCAACCTCCGAGAAAACTAAATCATTACAACGTGGTTATTTTATTACGAAAGTAGGAAGTAGAAGTTACAAGTCTATTGTCCATGGTAAACTTCTCATTACGCTGCTGTGGGCAAAAGCACTTCAAGCGTCGAGCGGCCAATCCAGAGAAGTGCTGGATCTTCGCGAATGAGCACAAACTTGTCGAATTGATCCTCAAAGCCGAGAGCACGTAAGAAGTCCAAACACTCAGGGAATCTTGCAACTTGCCCTTCAAAGAGTCGATTTGTCTTTCGAATAGACCGAAATTTGGCATCATTAGGGTGTGAAATAATGTTGGAAACAATCTTATAGAGCAAGGTGGCCGCTTTTTCAATAGCCTCAACGCTGTAGTGGATCTTCAAATGACGAACTGCTTTGTAGATGCATTTTTCGCGATCACCTGCATATTTTGAGACAAAAAGTTAGTCGCAGAATGTCGTGCTGCAATAAATCTAACGTACTCATGGCCAGTGTTGCGACTGCTTCATCAGCCATCACGTGTAAACCAGGCTATTCACAATATCACACTAGTCAATATCAAAACCGCCTCAATCGATATGAAATCTCTTGTTTCGTACAGTGGTCGTTAACACTTCATCAGACGAGTTAGCTTGTTTCGACCAAACTTCTTTATGCTCTGCTTCCGTGTCTTCCATCTCTAGATCTTCTTTCGCTGAACCAATCTGTCGCTCGTAAACAGAACTTTGCTCTTCAGACGGCGTTTTCTGCTTTGTCATATGTACATCTCGTTCTTGAGAACTCGGTACAGGTGGTACGTCGGTCAGCAATCGACTTGTTTGGGCTGACCCACCACCTAGTCGGTATCCAGTTGAATTTTTTAAAGTCGTGCCATCATCTTCTACGATCGCGGGAGAACCTCCGACTACAGATCCACCAGACTGCGTCCAGTCTAACTCACTGCACTCCCTTTCAACTTGGCGCATGAGTTGGTAAAACTTGTTATCGTGTTCCGAATGAACCTGTTGTTACATTGAACGTAATGAATAAATTGATACAATGAAAATGTAAACACTTCGGTTTCCTACATTGTGGGAAAGCTCGTGGAAAAGCACTTTCTTGATACTGATTCAAGCGAATTAATACTCTGACATTAATCAAATAACTATAACTCTTACGCACCTTAAATATTTGCGAAAGCCAAGCAAATCGTCTGTACGCAGTCGAAGCAAGATCTTTTGTCCCTTGTTCTGATTAAGTCCTAGTATGCACACGGGATCCACGCCAACTTTTCCATCCGGTGGCATTTCTGCCAGGACCCCAACGCTCCATCTAAAATAATTCAACAAGCATATTACTTTAAGAAACAAACATTCTCTCCTTTGTCTAATTTGCACGTACTTGTGCTTAGCCATGACTGCTAGAATTCCTCGATCAGTCGCCAACTTTTCCAAAATCTCATGAGCTTTCTCTTTATCCGCAAAATTCTCCAAGGGTTCAATAGCATGAAAACGGTAGCTCGTGGACACTGCGTCGCGTGCCTGAATATCTTCATTTCGCTTCCAAATATTTACAACGCGTCGATTCTCCCTGTCATAACCAGATCGTCAGCAATCAAGCACTAGATTCCGTCTCGATATGTGGAAGAAACACACCGAATCGTCATCTCCCGTTGTACGGCACTTTGCGTTGCCTTCATGTTTTCAATTTGTGCTGTTGAAGCACCAGCCATCAAAAGCAAAGGCGTCATATTGTCACAAACTTCATAAAGACGTCTCGAGACATCACTGCAGTCAATACGTCGACGATTTTGAAACAATCGTTGTGCGTCTTGTTGCACACCCGCCACACGCTCAATTTCCGCTTGAAGATCAGCAATTGTAGAAGATAATCCGTTCGATAACATCAGTGCATACAGCTCACCCTTGTAGCTTAAATTTAAAGTTGTCATGGTGAATGATAGAAAATTCGACAATGACAAGTTCAGAATACTGTTCGTTCTTGAATATTACCGGTACTTGATAGCTAAAGATGACGTAATCTTTCGTCTTCTTAGAAAAAAACTCAATATAGCTTAATCCTGATGATGACCCTTCGTTTGCTCTCCCACCTTCTCTTACTATAACATGGTGGCTCTCCATCAAAACGCTCGGAGCGGTTCTGGTCGTCGTGGTGTCGGTGAGTCGTTAATTCTTAAACGACGACAGCGAGAAGATCACTTGGCCAGTTATACAACATCTGTTAAGGGCATATCGAGGCTTAACACTCGAGCCGAGTGGGAAGATTCGCTGTGCGATAGAGGTGAGAAAAAACAAGTTCAACGAACGATTGTGCAGCTTAAAAATCAGTATGAGTCGCAATTACATTCACGACGGCTTCGGTACGTGCATCATCCATGCTAGTAAATGTGTTATTTACATTAGAAATTGTTGTATTTAGACTTGCTGAGCTGTATAATTCTGAAATGGAAACATGGAAGAATGATTGTCTCGCAAATGTTGAGACACCAGAAGATCGAAAACAAAAGTATATAAGCTAAGTTGTGGCTATTAAAAAAGTATATGACTATTGACAGTATATGACGATCAAAATATTAGAATGATCGAACGCGCGATGGCACTAAAAGAACGACGGGAAAAAGAACGACAAGCAATTGTTGACGAGAAAAGGATGCAATTGTATCGGTGAGTGTTTTTCTCTTTCTCAATGGTAACGAAACTTATTATATCATTTTCATATCATACTATTAGAGAATCTTGCGATGATATTCGTGTTGAAGACTCGCATAAGATCCAGCAACTTGTTCTTAACGATCGAGACAAGCAACTTAAAGAAATGACACAGTTTGCGCAACAAGAGGTTGGTTTACTTGTACTGCTGACTGTAGTATACTGATTTAGTATAATCATGGACTAGCATGCTTTGGAGCTGAAAATGGCACAATTGTGGGAAGAAGATCGTCTGAAGAAAGAAGAGCGTGAACGTCAGGATGTTGAATTGGCAATCAAGCGCAATGAAGAGATGAAGCACATTCTTGATCTACAAGTAGATCTTGTCCAGAAAAAACGTTCTGAGCTTAAAGAGCGGAAACAAAAGGAAGAAAAGGAGCAACGCAGTGAATGGGAACGTTTACAACAAGTGGAAGAAGAGCTCAAGCAGCGTAATCGAGAGAGAGAAGTCAAGGTTTGATCAATGATGACGTGATTGATATGACAATGGGTTTTTAATTACTGTATACTTTTATTTTGTAGCGAGCTTTAGATGTTAAAACATTTAATCAAGAACGTGTTGAAGCAACACGATTAGCAAGTGAGCGAGAGCGTTTGTATGACCAGCGATTACTCGAGCAAGTTCTTGCACAAGAAGCTGAGACGCAACGTCAAGAACGAGAATTGCAGCATCAATTCCGACAGGAGCAACTTGAGTATCAACAAATGTTAAAACGACAAATGGAGATTGAAGCGAAAGATTTGTCTCATTTGGATAAAATTCGAAAAGATATGGAAGATGAAGTATGGGCCAAGCGAGATGCTGAACATGAAGCAGAAGAAGCAGCTCGTCAAGAATTACTGCAACAAGTTTTAAGATCTCGTTCAGCTCAAATTGATAAGAAACGGACATTAATAGCTCAAGCAAAAGCACAAGATGCTGCATATTTGAGTCAAATTCAACGCGATGCTGAAGAAGCTTTGCAAAAAGAGCTTCGGGAACAAGAAGAGCGTCGTGAAATTCTCAAACGAACACAATCTGATCTGTTACGACAGCAAAATGAAAAGCGAGTGGCAGATGAAGAAGCAAAACAACGTGAGTATCTTGAACTTAAACGCATGGAACTTGCTGAAAAGCAGCACAAAGAACGCGTCAAGGACTTTGCTACTCACATCCCACCCACAAACTTTCGTCGCAAAACTGCTCAATGGTATTTTGATGTGTAAAATTTAAAAACCATCCAAGCGAATTTAACTTTCACAATGAATATATTAAGCAAAAGCAACATCTTCATTCAGCCAATCCAACGAGTTTGAAGTCTCTTGTTTGACTTCCCCGTCCAATCGAATAATCTTATTGCATTCTTTCGCTAATTCAGCAAATCCTAATCGTCCTCGTCGCTCAATAAACTTGACAACTGTATCCATTTCTTTTTCAGTGATATAGATAAACTTGCCACGATCGTCTACAATTCCCGTAAGACGATTTACAGTCTGTAAAGTCTCAATACGATCAATTGCTTCTTGAGTAGTCAAGTTGAATTTTGCCGCGAGATCCTCAAGCAAAACCACTTTGTGAGATTTGACGTAATCAATAAATTCTTGCAATAGAGTTTGATTCTCTTCACTGTCTTCTGCAAGTTTTGAGCCCTTTTCTTCAATTGTAAACATTTGTTTCCACTGATCAAACTCTTCTTTTTCCTTTTTCTCCTTTTCTTCCTTTAACTTTCGCTCTTGTTCTTCAAAAGCTGCTTCACGTTTATTTTCTTCTTCTCGTTTCTTTTGATACGCTGCTTCTTTTTCTTCTGCAATGCGTTGACGTGATTCACGCTGTTGCTGGTCAAACTGCCAATCAAAAAAATATAATCACCAAAAACTGATCACATAATTTCAATAGAACAATAAATGACAAACCTGGCGAAGTTCTTCACGTTCCCGACGCTTTAATTCCTTTTGAAGTTCTTTTTTAGTCATTGCACGTCTGTTTTAACAATTATAAAAAATTAAATTTTAGAGGCAAAGAGCTCGTTGCCAAAGTCACATACGGTTCCACGAGTTCTTCTGCAGTGTCTCCTCCAGCGTCCACATCGTCATTTTGAGGTGGAGGGACGGGAACAATAGGTGCAACATCCTCTTCTCTTTCGATATTGCGCTTTTTACGGTCCTTTCGCTTGCGTAAAGCCGCCAAACCGCCTCTTTCTCGACGAATTCCTTCCGCTTGATCCTCATGGACAACTTTCTAGTACACATCAACAATTTTCAAATGTAACAGCATTGAAACACATAACTTTCGTGTGAATGTGCGTACTTTAGTCCCAGCAAAGAAACCAGTAAGAAAGAGAATCAACAGCACAGTCGAGGCCAAGCCCCCGACTGATATAGCCAAAAGTACACCATCTGATAGCATCGTATTTCTAAAATATCAAAATGTGTATTTATTATAAAATAATAAAATCTACGAATTCAATTTCTATCTTGTAATTTATTCGAGTCGTGAAATGAGTTTACGCTTTCGACGCCATCGCCAGCGCATTGATGATACATGAGTTTCTGCTCCAATCTCTTCTTCAAAGCAAAGATTATCGAGTAATTCATATAATGCACTACCATAACGTTCTTTCATCCATGTGACAAATAAAGTGCGTTGAAAGTAATGACGATGCTCTTCTAACAAATATGACGCAAAGCAGACGAGATAAAAGTAGCGTTCCAAGTAATTTACAGCTCGTAACATGAAAAGATCACGCTTAGAGCTTGGAAAATCACGATCCATCGCAAGATCGCGACATTGGCTAATACAATCGCGAAGATTCTGCATATGTTGACACTGATCAATAGCATAATCAACCACTGCTTTGCTCTCTACTCCATTTTCCAGAATCTTAAGCAATTTACGAATGACAACAAAATCTGTTGTCACTGCAGTTGATTGACGTCGATGATCCATAGCTTGAGATTCAAGAATTGCAGTCAACAGACTCGATTTACTTGATAAAACGCAGTCTTCGAGAGCCACACGAAGCATAAAGACACAAACGAGCGCAGTTGACGTGCGACCTCGACCCATTTGACAATTGAAAATAACTGCAGTTTTCAGCTTCTGTTGACTTGACTTTTCAACATTCGAAGACAAAGAGAGTCCCAATTCATTCATAAAGGACGGCAACACTAGACGCACCATATCATCGAGATCTTTTTCTTCGGGAGCAGTTTCATCCGACACTGGAATTCGAGCATATCGTAAATCAAAGTCTGTTGTTTGCATAGCATCACGATAAATTTCATCTAATGTCTTAATATCATTCTCTGGTTGAATATGCTCAATTATCTCTTCATTCACCATCTCGCGAGGTTCATACCAATACATGAACAAACCATTATCTTGACGTACTTTATTTTGAACCTCCCGTTTGACTTGTTGTTCAATTGCTGTGATTTCATCCACTTCAATACCTGGATATTCTACATTCACCATCAGATTATCCTGGTGACGCACACAAAATGGACGTCCAGTAACGTAAATAACGGCTTCTTCTCGCAAGTTGATCCAAATTGCGCGATCAAACTCACCGCGTAAGTGGTCAATCACATCGATAATGCCTTGCTCCAGACACTGCGCTGTGCCAAAAATTGGTTCGCTTGCAATGCGTCGATAGTTCGGGACATTTGTCGTCAATTCAAATGGGATTCGTGCGATTCCAAAAAAGTGATCCATTTTTAAAACACAATTCGTCAATACTTTGTCCGACTTGTACCGCACGCCACCCAAATCATCTAGTAATCGAAACAAATCTGGATGTTGTTGGAGCCATTTGGAAAATGATACGTGCGCTTTTGCCTCTTGAATGTCTGGAGCAGATTCTTTTACACGAAAATTTTGATAATTCTCAATCATGTAAGCTCCAAAAACAATCAAGTAGAAGTAGCGCTCCAAAAAACTCATGGCGTGACGTAGATAGTATGAACGTTTTGCTGGTTTTGCTTCAGCATTTGATAAGTCACGATATTCACGGATCATATTACGAAGATTGCAAACAGTGGCACATTCATCGATGGTAGTGTCCACCCATCGCTTTGCTTCTTGTCCATGAATGAGATGCTTTTGCACCTCTCGAATAACAGCAAAATTTCCGGCTTCGTTCTGATCTTCACAATCTTTTAAAGAATGCAGAGAAGTTGTAAGCTTCAATGTCCTTTGATCGTAAATGAGCTTTCCAAGTACCATTGCCGTAGTCGTACGACGCTTTCCCATTTGGCAATTAAACACAACAGCCGTTGCTCCATCATTAATTATACTTTCCATCAGATTCATGAGTGTTTCAACATCTTCGTGTTCCGGTGCATTTTCTCTCTCGATCGGGATCCGAAAATACTTTACACTTTGTATCGCATCATTATACTTTATCACATCAGCACTTTTATATATCTCTGGTAATGTCAGAACATGTTCAGGCCGAGCAGTTTCATGAAGAAGCTCATTTTCATTGAAAGCGACTTCATTCCAATACTGAAAGTAGTTGTCAGCCATCTTCAATTCTTCCTGCAAGCTACTTTTCATTGATAATTCGAGCACTTGAATCTTATGTCCCGTTATTCCAGGGACCAGATCATTTTCATTTAACTTGGCACTGCGTCGAGCCGTAAATGGTCGTCCATTTACATAAATCACTGCTTCCTGTAGTTCAATTCATTAAGATCAGTACAAGTAATTCCACAAGCAACCACTCTCTAACACTTTCCCACCTCACGTAGATTGATCCAGACTACTTTTGTAAATCCATCTGCCGCAACTCGATTTAAAATCAGTTGAATCCCTTCCTACAAACTCCAATATTACGATTGTATCCACAATATTCCCATTGATCGTTCTTACCAAGGAGGGTTGTGCTGATCCGTACACAGGGGTATGTTCTAATCGTCGAAAATTGGGTATAATGTCCCCATTTGGTGTGTCTAATTCATGACAATTAGGGAATCTGTCTGTCTTGAGCACGTACTTTTTGAGCACTTTCGTGCCCTGAACCATTAGACTATGTTGTCGAGTTAGCATCATACGCTCTGTTTTGCCTCTAACTAAAGCTTGAATCCGCGTAGCTGCCTCACTCTGATCCTGTTGACCACGTAATACATTGGCTGGCAGTGTCTTGTTACCTACGACCAATGCGTGCAGCCTAGTGGCGGTGTCATTAAAGTACGTTGGTGGAGTGATACTTTTCTTTCCATTAACATTTTCCTGTGTTTGTGGTGAGCGAAGTATCATCTTGTGAAACTTAGCGGCGGCTCCAGTGATATAACTTAAAGGGTTGGAATCACTTGAGTTGTTGGAAGTGCATGAGCTGGATGCCTTCATCTCATTCTGTTTTTGGAAGAAAAGATTCCGCAAAGGAGCCAGCAATAGACGAAGCTTGTTTTCTGGATCTTGGGCTTGCTGGACTTCAATTGCACGCGAACAAATGGCGTCTAACAGCTTGTCCACCTCCTCCATTTTCGTAATGATCACAAGATGATTTACACGGGTCTTTTATGTACCGCTGGATTTAGTGTACCGGTATCACTTATTGTTTGGTAAGACGAAATATAAACTGATTATATAACTCATATATGTATTAGAAAGATTTCGGGATCAAAACATATTAACGGATTTTCCCGATTACCCGAATAGAGCCCTCAAGAATACAATATCCACAACCCCGCTATAATGACTTCAGATGACCGAGGAATAAAATCCCACACACTACGCCTACGATCCATCATGGATCCAAACACGCGGTAGCGAACCCGTGTCGGAGGTATCTTCTCTAGAATTGTGAAGAATATTTATTTTGAATTTGTGACGTACTTCGAGAGCCAAAATCGCTATTTTCACATTGTCACTAAAATATTTTTCTGAAAAATATCCGGATCTTTTTAGCTTGAGTCCGGTACTCTAATCGGGAAAATCCGTTAATTATGTTTCTGTGACATATTATGTAAAGAGTGTGTCTTCTTCATCAACTGTGTCAAGAGTCTAGAAAAGATGAAGTCTGCTAATATTAAGTTAAAAAATAGATCCTTACTTCGCCACACTTCGCAGGAGATTATATTATTACATCGGTTGTGATGTCTCAATTGGTCCAAGAAGAAGTATACCCACTCTTTTCGAAAAAAACATTGCAATGTCTGCTATCTCTGGCCAAATAGGAGCAGATTTGAGCTTTGTCATTTTTACTTGTCTGTAAACACTACTTTGCAAAAGGTAAGTATCATCACAAGCGATTATGTTCGTGGCATTGGCAGCAGCACTTGGAGCCATGAAAATGGTTTCGACATCTTTATTATTGTATGCTGGCCTTGTAGCTAAATTGCGTGAAAACGAAAAGAAAAAAGGTTTTTGTTTGCGAACAGTACGTCATGTGATACCACAGTTACAAGTACGATGTGATTTAACTTGTTGGATAGAGAGCAGTACTTTGCCAAGCGTAAAGGTAGACTTGCTCAATTCTAAGTTGAATGATATTCACAAGAGATAACTACATCTGGTTGTTACGGCGCCTTATGATCTATGGAGAGTATGACAGACGCAATTGGTCAGCGCAGGTGCAGTTCAGCTCTATGATCATGGACGAAAGTGCATGCAAGAGCAGCAAAAGGATCAGGGACTTCAAATCGATTACAGCGGTGCTGCAGCACTCAATAAAATATCATTTTTGAGATTTATCTGAAAAAACTATCTTGATTTTTATGAGATGTTGCAGCACAATGCGATGGACATTTGCCAATTTCTCTTTTATTAAATGCTGCTAGGCAACTGTAATGGTGCCGCTGACAGCAGCAAGGTTAGCCATTTTGCTTAAACAACTCTCGAAAGGTATTGGTGATTGCATCGTTTGGAGATTCAAAGATACATGAGTGTAAGGCACTGTCAGAATGTTTGGAGTAGGTAAAGGGGCCAACGCATGCGACAAGAGTCTAACTCGCTTATACATATTTGCTCGACAATAACGAGGAGCAAATTTTCTCGTAGGCGTCTGGTGTCTTCGTGATACTCGACGTTCCTGCAATGTTCCATCGAACTACTTCGCGTGGGTGTGTAAATCTGTGTACCCCACAGTCTAGAAGGAAGGGCATATAAAGGGCATAAAAGCTGAACATCCTCACATGTAACATCTTTGGATACAAGACACTGCTCGACAGCTAAGGTGTCGCTCATACCATGTCTAGCCTGTCTGATGTACATCCGTGGTGGTGACATCACGTCGTGCACACCCAACACAAGATTTCCACCTGACTTTTGTTTCGTGTTGATTTCTTGGCCTTTAAAAAGATGTTGGGTGAACGCGAAGGCCTCAGTGTGAGACGCACCAGCAATAAATACGTCAAATAATGTTATGGTTCCCGAAAATTGTCAGCTGATCAAGCAAAATTCTTTAACTTGATTCTGTAACCGGGTTGCACGTACCCTTGTACAAAAGGGCGGATCATACAAGATGGTGTGACCGTGTATAGGGGTGAATCACTCAAGTTGGTGTAATCACAAAATGGTGTGGCTTTGCCGTGAAGCCACTAACTGGCAGGATTGCCAGTAGTAATATATATTAATTAGGTTTTACTATATTAATTAGGTCTAACAATATTGGTTTGGTATCACTATGTTGATGATGGAAACCCAAGAATGAACGGAAGAGCCTCTATACCTTGGAAAGGTTTTCAGTACTCTTGGAGGTAGCGGATTCAGATCCGCCAAACTCGTACTGATTCTTGTAAAGAGCGTAAGGTTGGTGACCTTAGTCTAGGTTCATCTAAGCAAAGACATACAGCACACCGCTGCACATTTATTAAAGGGTAGATAAGCATACAGGATAATGCCGTAAGCTGCGTAATGAGGCCCGAAGACTAGCGATGTCTGTCCCTCATGAACAACACATGATTCAACTGAAGCGGATGCAAAAAATTCGCATGATGGTGCCATACTCACGCGCATCTTGCCGATTGCCAGCGCAGCGCAAGGTTGCTTAGTCGGAGAAGGGTCGAGGCTATGCCTATCTCAATCGCTTTGTTTTGAAAGAGGTTAACTTGCACTTTTGTGGGACTCAAAGCTGATTAAAATTGGTTTCGCACTAGGGAGCTCTAAAAAGTCGACGATTCTACATCACTATCTGATTGAGAAGTTCTCAACTATCATTTTATCGTAGCTTATAAGAGCTTTTAAGTGAGTGTTAACCTCTATCGGAGCCCAAACCCCCTAGCTTAAAACTCTTGGACTGCCGGTTTAACTATTCTCTCTTGGGGGCAAATAAAGACCGAAGACTTTTATGCGCTTTTTTACGAGCTGAAGTAGGTGAACAATATTTTTTCTCGCCAACGGACGGTACAAATTCATGAGGATGGTTGACAATCGTGCAGAAGATAGTTTCGAAAACACTTTACGGCGCAGAAATCAGATAGATCCTGATTGATACATAGTACTTTGCAGTTGCTTAAATTACAATTTTAGAACATTTCAAACTTGTCACAATAAAGCCATGATGAATGCATTGCATAAGGCTCACAGCCACCGTGCTTACTTACATCTCCTTTCAAACTATCATTAATCCAGCTTGCGCACTTGTTCTAGATCAGGATACTTGCCCACAAAACTAACTAAGTTTGCTGTTCATCCGACAGGCGACAGCGTCACTTGTACGCAATAAACGATGGTAACGGCTGCTTTCATCCCTGTATGTTAAGCACTTACAAATCATTAAGCGTCTGTTTCGCGTCGATTACACTTCTGTTCCTCACTCCTAGCGTACGGCCTCAAATCAAAGACCCGATAGCCCCTTGTTTATTCGAGATATCTCACCCCCGGCTTGATACGTCTGACCCCGTTCACATGATTTGATATAATTTTGCTTTCGCGCTCTACCTTCTGCTTTTGCATCAAGCCAAGCTCGTCTCTGCGGTTACCGATTTCGCCATGTTGGCTGAGTGGTCAACTGCTGCCCTCGTGCAGTCAGTGCTTCGGCGCCATACGTTGTGTAATTTGCGCAGCATATCTCATGGCTGAAAATTGTTCGTAGCAGGCTAAACTTTTCACTTACTGCTCCAGCAGAACACGAAGCGCGATTGTGTCGATCTCAATTCTGTAGAATTGCATTTACGACTGAGTGATCTGTCCCATGGCTCACAAAGTGCGAATGCCTCTGTTGTCATTTATCGCCAGCGTCATTCACTCCACGATCTTAGCGTCTTGTGGCTGTTAACTAGTTGGATGTGTAATGCGTAAAAAACGTATGCTACAAAGCGAATACATTTGGTCTCTAGTCGTTACTCTTCGCTATCATCATGGATATCGCTTTGGATTGTTCTAAAAGCTTCTCTGTGACGGTATCTACGAACGTCTGATAGGAACGTCAGACGCTGACGTTATACACTTTCCGGTGTGAGCCATCGCCACGATAATTTATCTTTATATTGTACGCTCGGAGGTATAATACCAACACATATACCTCAGTGGAAAAGGTCATGGGTGAATATTCGCTAACCGGCATAACGAAAACCTTGCTCTGAGTTTCACCCTACCAACTTCAAGGCAAAATTCACATTAGATAAGAACTAATTTATTGATCTGTTAATGCTCAAGGATCGCTAAGAAAATGTCTTGTAGAGCCAAACAGCTGCTACGCTGATATAGTAGGCCAAACCAAGTGACGAACGAGATCATAACATCTAAATCCAATTTTTTGTGAAGGTGACTTCAGGTGAAAAATACCCATGTCTGAGCGATGCATTCCCAAGCTGCCAAGACCAAATTTTTGAAAGGAAGAAAAAAGGTCAGATCCTTCGCTTCTAGGTCATGGGTTGGAGTTTGCCATGAAAGTCGCTTTGATCACAAACAAGCGGCTAAGAAAAAGCACTATTGTTTTATTTTGATGGAAGGGAGCGTTCACGCGTGAGTGTTTGAACCTGCTTGCTGCTGCTCCTCCATCACAAGGTGGGGGGTGCATTCTATTGGCAAATAAATAAGTTATTTCAGTCTTTGCATATGTTATCCTGTAAGATGATTAAGTGCGAATGAAGTCGATTTGTCCGGAATATATACTAGTTCATAACATTCCTGATCCAAAACTCTTACGTAATATAAGTCAAAACTAATGTGATGATATAGCAAGAAGATGACCCGGGGACGAGGCCCCAACGTTGAAAAGGGACGCATAGTTTACGCGAGATTGAGGAGTTAGAATGCTACATCTCATCAACATAATAAGAGAATATTTTTATTTTATGATGCTACAACAGTAGACGATGGGCCCGATGCCAAAATATACTTGTGTAATAGCCACGTCATAATTCATTCGCCAAAATACGAGTATATTATTACGTAATTATAGGATACTTCGGCGAGAAGACTTTTTCCTACAATATTTTTGTGGCCGCAGAATTTTGATGAAGTGAGAAGTATGGCTAGGGGTAAAAAGACATATTAAGACTTGTGAAAAGCACAGATTTGTGAGATTCCAAAGTCTGAGGGAACCAAATCCCATGCATAATTAGATCCTTTGGTGCTAGTCAATTTTCAGGTGCTAGTCAATTTTCAAGAAAAAAAGTGTAATGTGATTGCAATAGCCGTTATACTTAGTGTGGTATGGTAGATAATGATTGTGTCACCTGTCGGTAAGTGCTGATACGTCTGAAACTGATAAGAGCGGCGTTCAAGCAAGGGTGAGGGTAAATTCTACAGGCGGGCAAGCGGTAATGAATTGTGTATATGTTATTTTCGGGCGTTGTACATCCAGACTAAGTAGGTGTAGAAACGATGGGTGAAATAATTTTTCTACGATCACTCCCACATGTGCAATACTCACAAACGAAATTACGACTGCAACAACGCAATTTGGTGTTCTAACTTCACCGATTGAAGCAGCTGAAGCGAAAAACGATTCTAAAGGTTTCTACCGCTTTGACAGAGATTATAATTTATAATGTCATCAGCTCAGATTAGGTTCTTGATTCTCTCATCAACCAGACAGAAGCATTGAAGCGTGGGGCTGCTAATGACAAAGTTGACGGACTTAGTTTGGTTGAATGTTTATGAGTGTTTTCATTTTGGATTTGAAAGAAAAATCAGGCATTCGATCGCCTTTCATATGAAAGAGTGACTCCAAACAAGCCGCCTACGATTTGTATCGGAGCTTAAAGTGCGTCATATTTTGTTGTAACTATTGATGCTGCAACCATCAGGGTCTCGTAAGTGGGTTACGTTGCAGATATCACAGTCATGTTTGTTGTGTGTCTCCCGCGATACTGGATGTGCAAGGAGGCCCACAAAAGAATATTTTTGGCAATAAAAACTGCCATACGAGTCCCAATTTTGCGCGACGCTGTAGCTTGTGGCTCATCTTGCTTTGTGTATACAGGTTGATAAAGATTCATCGTTAAACAAGAGAGACGACAATAATTATCAAGTTAAATTAAAAACCGCGAATTACATCGTCGATGTTCTAAGAAAAGCATGTACTCGTCAAACAGCACGTTGTTAATATCAAAGCGAGTAGTAAGAAATTGTCAATTTTGAAGATTCGGACGATGCTTGGCCTCAGTAGAAGCATCATTAAAATTATTAGAATTCAGCCGATGGGAGGAACCAGAAACTTAAAATGAAAACATTGGAGACGAGAACCGCTCGCTATACGATCGCATGTTTCGAGAGACAAGACCTCCAAAACATATGCGCTGGACAGTATCGGACTTGAAGCGATGACCCCGTGCTACACGTGGATAGAATAATAAATCCTAATTCCATACATTTTTAAAATAATGCGTTTCGTTCAATTCAAACGGACTCAGTCCTTGATCAACATCGCTTACAAAATCATGCACACTGAATTCTAATGAAAGGCCTATGATTTTGCTTTTGGAAGGGGCGTACAAACGTTGTTGGCGTTGATTAACCCTAGGTCGTTGAACGCGAGCTTTTCAACAACCTGTCTTTAGAACAGCTAGTCACGCGTCATAAACTCATATTTATACCTGGTCGCAAAGCAACAGCACACCTGGCGGAACGAGAGCTTCAAGTAGTACCAAAAGCCTAGACAAGCTCAACAGATTCAAAATTGCGCTGCAAAGACATCTCCAGTAAGGTTTCAACCAGTCGTTGGCGGGTGATACATCGGCTTTCATCGTGATGTCGCTCATGATAGACCTTTAGGCTTTTTGAGGCAGGGACGAAAATTTTAGCCGTCAGCAATGCCTTAGATGAAGCAATAGCGCGTCACATTTTGGTTTCAAGCTAGATTGGTGCGCGCAGAATGAGCACTTATGTGCAATACAGCGGTAGAAAAGGGAGTCTCTCATTGAAAAGACAAAATGCAACATAATTTGGGGTTGCTTATACCATCTAGCTAGCTGTTCTTGGTAACTCATCTAAGGGGGGACTTGCAGAATTTCTATAGCAGTTGCGAAAATCTAATTGAATCAATAAAGGCATGCTTTGGTAGCAATCACGATCTACACACAGCGTCTGCAAACGAATGTAGCACGTACCGAGATCTATACTGCACACCCTTTATCTTGAATGTTACCGTATGAAATAAGGAATACAAATTGTGTACCGCGAGTACAGGTAAGGGTGCTGGAGTGGAAGAGCTTCAAGTGTGATGAAGAGATAGACCGTAAACTTGCTGATGAGAAAGAGCAGCGATGTCCTGGTGGTCGAGCAGCTCCGTAGTACACGCAGATATTTATTTCTTGTTCTCCAAAAACATCTGCTTCTTGCGTGCCTCATTCTTCCGGGCGAGAATTATGCACGATTGGGTTACTGCGCAGGATTGTTCGACAGCCGCTCGCGGAGACATTGTTATCCCAGCTATCATAGGGCGGGCTACCGGAGCTTCATCTTACTTTGTGAATTCAAGATCAACGGGAACTAGCCGCCAATAAGCGAATCTGCATCAGACAGGTGGGGCTAGCCTTAGCTTTTTAATTGTCATAACAACCTCATTGGCTGTATGAGCTCACGATAGAATCGGGAACGTCGTACAATCACGTTCACAATATAAAATACGCCGAAGCGGTTAAAATGCCAAATTTAAATAAAGTGCCCGTGCGTCGAAGTCTTTAATAGAAAGTGTCAAAGGTTCTGTTGGACCATCAAGCAAAATGTAAGCTTTGATAGCTAGAAATGTTGTCTCGTTATAAATTTGGAACTGACATACGATCTCATCCTAAACATGACAGGCCTTGAACGCTACGCGCCACGAAATGATCAGAGGTCAAAAACACTAAATGTCATGGACTTCTTGCCTGGTGCTGGTGGGTCATGAAATCACACCTTGCAGAAGCACATCAATTGCGGCGAAATGCGGTAGTGACGACAGATCCGCTCCAATAAATCTTTGACAAACCAGCATGTCCCATCATGCATCGAGCCGATTCTACCAAAGTCCGATTCATTCGCTCAGCAACACCATTTAACTAAGGTGTGTACGGTGGCGTGGACTTTTGTACATTAGCACGCTTTGCGCAAAAGTCGGTCATTGGAACAGAAGTATATTCACCGCCATTGTCGCTTCGAATACGTGCCAGTCTTGTTCTCGGCAAACGCAACATAATCTGCCAACTTGTTAAACGCTTCGGACTTGAACTCCAACAGTTACACAGCACAAAAATGAGATTAACGTTAATAAAATTTACAAATTAGCTAGATGTCGAAGTCTGCATTTGCCCACATACGTCACTACGTGAACGACTTCAAGCACTTGTTGGGCCCGTTTGATGAGAGACTTTATGAGACTTACACGTGTTTGCTTCCCCAGCGTACAGCGATCGCATAGCTCCCACTGCTTTACTGACGCCAATTTGATCCCGGTGCCATATCCCTTCTTAACGATAGAATCTTAACCGCCATGGCCTATGTGACCAAGTCGCGGGTGCCGGAGGTGTCCTCATGGCATCCCAATAATCTTGTCACGTTGACCTCATCGGGTAGAGTAGGCCTTATGCAGGTTATGTGCCCAAGCCCTGTCTTCCGTGCCTCCAACGGCGACCACGTCTTAGTCATAAAGGCTGCGCCACGATTGCCCGTATCAACAATCTTGATGGTACAAACTTCCACACTTGGAAGTTCAAGATGCAGATGGGCTTGAGCAGCGAGACCTTTGGGAGGTCGTATGCGGAAAGGTTGAGCTGGAGCAATGCGTAACGTCGTTGGACCAATCCACGTACAAGCGCAAGTCTTGCATGGCGATGGCGATCATCTGCCTTGCGATGGAAGATTCTCGGTTATCATTGGTTTATTCTGCTAGTGGTGCGCATGATGTCTGGTCACGGCTGGAAGGACACTTTGAGAAATTGAGCCTAGCGAATAAGCTCATTCTTCGTCGGCGCTTATTTACGGGCAAGATGGAAAAAGGAGAAGATATGCTGGAGCACATCAACAAGATCAAAACGTTGGCGGAGCAGCTCAGGAGCTCCGGTCAGTGAGGACAACCTGGTTTTTACGCGTTTCACCAGTCTCAGCGAGTCGTATGCATTTCTCATTACGGCATTGTATTCAAGAGCCGACTCGTTGTCGTGGGAGCTTGTGACGTCTTGGCTGCTACACGGAGACTTGAAGCGCAAAGCGCTAGGTGGCGGCGGCGCCGATGGTGCCGCGCACAACCAAGGTCAAGCGTTCGTATTGACGGAAAGCGGACGGCGCGAGGGACGACAAGTGCCAATGAAGGATAACAGCACCTGTCCGTAATGCGGTGAACATGGGCATCGGATGGCTAAGTGCCCAACGGCCGCAGCGCGCAAACGTTGCACAGAATGATGACGATTCTGGCGATTACTATTTTCGGTTGGCGAAATTGCGTGTACGGTCAAGTCAAGTGTGCGACACAGCACATGACGTACTCGAAAGAGTACACGAAGAACTACAAGAAAATTGCGCCAGCCAACGTGCATCTCGCGGACGATGTCGTGGTGCAAGTGATTGGAACGGGCGATATTGTGATGTCGATGACGACACAACGTAGAATAAAAAAAGAGTATGTGAACATCTGTATGGCATATCCCAAAAGCTTTCTGGCAACTTGTAATCCATTGGACATTTTACCAAGGATGTTGGTCCAGTCACGTTTGAGCGGGACAGATGTTTTGCGGAAGCGAAAGGCCTTCGCTGGAAACTTGGAGCTCGTGAAGGCAACGGACTGTTCAAGCTGGGCATGAATCCTATGCATGTGGACGAGGTTAACATGATAAGCCTGTCAACACGCCATGGGGACACTACGTCGTACCTCTGGCACCTGAGACTAGGTCGTATTGGCCATGGTGGTTTATCTATCATTGTCACCAAGGACTATGGCACTGGTATCAACTCAACATCAGTAAGTCAGTGCGAGCAATGCGATGGATGCGCGCTTGGCAAGTAGACTCGTGTGAGTTTTATGAAGTCCTCACCAAGTCGTGGCGAGCAAGTGCTCAAATTATCTGACTTGTCCAATGCAGACACCAGCACTTGGTGAAAAACGCTATTACGCTAAATTTATTGACGAGAAATCGCACTACTGTGTCGTGTACTCTCTAAGGAATAAGTTTGTCAAGTTTGCTAACTTTGTCGCGCTAGCCAAAAATAAGACCAACAAGCGCGTGAAAACACTTCAGTGTGACAATGCTGGCGAGTACACTTCTGGAGAAATGACTAAGTTTTGTGCCGAACGCGGCATAGTCCAGAAGTTTACTCCTCCGTATACGCCTCAACTCAACGGAGCGGCCGAGCGTATGAATCGTACACTTGTGTATTGTGCTCGCTGCATGATTGAACACGCTAGTCTGCCGAAGTCGGATTGGGTGAAGCTGTCACAACTGCTATGTTTCATCAAAATTGTTGCCCGACACGCGCGGTCAATAACGGCATGTCTCCATACAAAGATCGAACAGGAAAGAAACCGGTATTGATGAATTTGAGGGTCTTTGACTGTCATGCATTTGTCCAAGTTCCGAAAGAGAAACGGTCTGAGTTTGACGCTCGCTCCGTTTGCTGTCGATTTTTGGGCTATTTGGATCACGAGTATGCGTATCGGCTTGAAGAAATTGAAGGCGGTCGCGTACTTGTTAGTCGCGATGTGCATTTGACGGAAGACGTTTTTGACAGTGGGAGATGCAAGTACAGCTCAAAAGAAGTCGTTATTGAACACGAAGAAGTGGAAGATCAAGACTCAACGCAACCCGACGATACTGGTAACGAATATGAAGAATTTGTGAAGAATCAACACTTCAAAAGCATACCGCATCAGCAGACTCACTATACCGGATATGGATTCTAAGCCTGGCAGCAAGCGGTACCAGCGCAACCAGTCGCTTGAAAAGGTAACCGACATACCAAGGGCCAAGAGACCAAGTAGATACAAATTGCTGGATGAGATGTCTGCAGTAGCGCAAGACTATGAAGCTGTTTATTATGTGGATCCAGTGGGAGAAATGCCGACAACGTCCAAGTCGGCTATGGAATCCAGCGACACAGGCAAGTGGCAAGAAGCGCGTGTTCGAAAAATATATCACTACGCACGGTAAAGACTTGGACGCCCGTGCCGCTGCCAAATGATCGCAAGGCAATCGGCAACAGATGGATATTTTGCGTCAAGGAAAACAAAGACGGTGAAATCGAGTGATACAAGGCACGGCTTGTGGCCAAGGATATTTCATAAGAATATGGGATTGACTATGAAGGAACATTTGCATCTGCGGCCACGTTTACGTCGATTCGGATTTTGCTCAGCTTGGCAGCCAAATACCAGCTCACAATTCACCAGATAGATTCGAAGACAGCCTTTTAAACGAACAGCTTGACGAAGACATTTACATAGTACAGACCGAAGAATTCAGCAATAAAAAGCACCCGGATTTTGTCTACAAACTGAAAAAAGCGCTATACGGGTTGAAGCAGTCTCCACGCATGTGGAACAGGACAATCGACGAGTTCATGCTTGAATTGAGCTTCAAGAAGTTCGAGTCAGATTACTGCGTCTAAATGAGATGTGACGAGCAAAATATGATCTTCGTGGTCCTTTACGTCCAGTTGATTCTCGCTAGCAACAGCGCCAAGAAGCAACAAGCTACGAAGTCAGCGCTTAGCCGCAGATTCGAGATGACAGACATGGGCCAACTCAAGTACTTTCTTGGATTTGAAATTGAACAAGATGTATCAAGAGGAGCGGTTACTATGCGGCAGACCAAGTTTGCGTCGGACACTCTGGAAAAGTTTAAGATGCAAGATAGTGAATCTGTGAAGACACCCTAGATCCTGTCCTCAAGCTGACCAAGGCCATGTGCAGGCCTCTCTAAATACGGCAATCTATATATAGAATCCGTATATTCCGTATTTGTTTTTTTTAAATGTTCCGTTCTCAAAGAAATAAATAAATTATTCTTATCTCCGTCACGCAGTTTCACCATACTGGGTAGTCATTTCCGTGCTGATTTGCTGTATTTCTTTGCATCCATCAAGATATCTGAGCCCGCAGCAAAGCGCCCTTGTAAAGCTGGTGCCCGGAAGACTTCGTTTCAGACGAAACATATCTTGCAATACGGTCTCTCGATCACCGCTCGTGACCTGCAGTCGTCCCTGGTCGTCGCCGTTTGCTACCAGTTCTGTATATGCTTTGGTCGTGAAGGTGCTGCCAGGAAATCGTCAACATCGTGCTCATTTGAAGACTTGCCTTTCAGAGCTGACAATTATACGCAGCACCATCGTCTGAATCATAAGAGTAGATGGGAGGAGTATCAAAACCTGTCACCTGAAGAGAAATCCAAGTACTTCGATGTTTAGTGAAGCACGCGGAAACCATTTGCCATTTCCTTGAAAACAGGTCTGAGGCAATGACTTTCGCCGTCAGAAATTCGACTGTTAACGTGGTTATCGGGGATAGGCTTTGGCATGAAGACGAAATGGCAAGACAAACGCGGTCCAATGCACTGTCGCTGTTTAAGTTGAAGGATGATTATCTTATCGAAATCAAACAGGTGAAACAATTTCTGTTGGTGACCCGGTTCGTCGGTCGCGGTATGTCTTTCGCGATGGCTGCTGATGCGATCCAAGATGCAAAGGATATCTGCAATATTCCGAAACTAGGTGATGCAATGATTATTAAGTTGCTTCCTATGCCAGGGTTGCTTGCGCAATATCAATTGAACATATTGCTCAGATT